CATACAAGCACTGGGTACAGTCAGAAGCGCGGGAGGGCGAGAGAATTCACCAGAGCCAGAGCGGGGAGCAGAGCAGGCAGAAGGACCAAAGTACACTGCTGAGGGGAGCAGTGGGCGGCAGGGGAGGTCTGTACGCCATGTGGGACCCTCCTCTGGTGGCCGGGGAACAGCTGGGGATTGAACCGGCGCTGCAGAGGCTGCGGGCAGCTTCGCAACCCAGTGCTCAACCGCTGTGCCACCGGGGAGGCCCTTGACTTATTCATCTTGATGCTGCTCCTTTCCTTCTAGACTTGCCTGGTCCCTTCTGCCCCTTTTCTGTGATTTCCCTCCAGAAGGTGCTTTAGACGTGGGGCAAGTTTTTGGGCCTCAGAGGCCCCACTTTGGACCAACTCTGTCTGTCTGAGCTTTAACCTATGTAGGGATAGGTAATTTTGAAGAATTTATTGGAAACTATCATCTTTTCTCCTCTCTATCACATACCAATTCTATTAAAGTTCTTTTCTATTGAAGGTATCACATGCTAAGAATATGTTCTGTCTATATGTGGTGAATGGCAGAACCTATATAGAGTGTGCAAGGTTTTGGGATCACAGAGGGTGCCCCTCATTCTTCTGCCTGCTAACATCGCTACTCAATAAAATAAACTAGATCACTGATTCAATTTCTTAGATGCACAGATTGTTAAGTAATATAACCTTTAAAGGCAGAAGAACATATTTATAATGAATTATCCTTCCATTAGATTGAATTAGTTTGAAAGTCATTTTAGGAGCCACGAGACATACAAAAGGACTGCAGAAATGTAGCTAAAACATTTCTTTCTTTAGTAACCTATTTATTTGAGAACTAACTTTCTAATAAACACAATTTAATACAAAACTTTCTGCTCTGTCTTTAACATTTCAATGTTTACTATTTTATAGTTTCTAAAATGTACTCAATATGATTTAACTACATTTAAATTATTCCTAGAATTAATAAATAAAATGTATTATTTTGATAATGTGAATTCTCTTTTTAAATTTATTTTCTCTATATTTCAAACTTTCAAAGATGTGTTTCTTTGGTGTCCCTGGTGGTGCTATCAAGCTATTGCCAGCCACTGAGGCAAGAGCTCAATCCTTGATCAGGGAGCTACCCACATGGCACAGCAGACCTCTCCTGTCTCTCCTGTTGCTTCCCTCAGCAGTGTATTTCAGTTAGTCTGCCTGTTCTGTTCTCCACTCTGTCTCTGGTGAATCCTCTCCCCCAAGTCCCCATACCTCTAACCTAGACCTCAGTTCTTATATGCATAAATAAATAAAATAAATCTTTTTTTAATAATTTTTTAAAGATTTATTTATTTATACAAGTACTAGGTATAGTCAGAAGCGTGTGAGGGTGAGAGAATTCACCAGAACCAGAACAGGGAAAAGAACAGGCAGATTGATGAAATACACTGCTGAGGAGAGCAGTGGGCAGCAGGAGAGGTCTGTCGCGCCATGTGGGACCCTTGCCAGCTGCCGGGGATCGAACCAGTGCTGCAGAAGCTGTGGGCAGCTTTGCAGTCCAGTGCTCAACGCTGCACCACCAGGGGAGGCCCAATCTTTTTCTTTTTAAAGGATGCATTTCTCTCACAGTTGATAAACTGCAAGAACCAAAAGGACTATAAATACCTATGAGTATGTTTGATAATTTCTGGTAACTAGCTGCCTGAAAAAGAGTTAAAAAAAAAAAAAGCAGAAATGTGAGAGGTATCCTAGAAATCCATCTAGCCAGACATTTTTTCTCAAGTAAACATTAATAATTTATCTTCTTCCAGTGTTAATTGTATTCTCTCATCATTATACTAAATGTAATCCATAGAATAAAAATGTAGACAATATATTTTGGCCTTTACGACAATCATAAAAATGTGTACTGTAGGATATTTCTGACATGTTATATCATTATTATCTAGTATGCTACACTTACTCTAATAATAACTTGTAAATAAATAAGCTCTTAACTTATTTCGAATACTAAAGCCATACTGCACACCTGGAAAATTGTGTTCCTAGTTGTAGTAGTATGGGAATTTACCAGAGACAATGATACAAAAAAATAGGGGGAATGGAGAGAAAGGTGAAAGATGTCCCTTAAAATTAATCATTTTCATTACATCCAAGTTTCTGAATTACTTGTAAAGCACCTATTTACTTTTCAAAATAGCATAGGATCTCAACTAATGATAATAAAGTGAGATGCATGAGGAAATAAAGATCCATTCAAATTATGATATATAATTCTTTTTATAGTACCTATAAGAAAAGGATATGGTTGTTATTATCCCCTTCCATTTAAGTTCAACCAAGTACTATATGGTAATGTTAAATATTGATAGATCACTTCTCACCCAATGTAGTCAAAGGAAAAGTCATTATCTTCATGTACATGTTTCCAAAATGTCCCCAGCCCTCCATCTTTCAAACTGTGTATTTCTGAAACATATGTGTATATTATATATTTGAGATATATCTGAAGTTCTGTATCTTTGCTCTTGCTCCTGCCTGGATAAATACATCCATTTTCCAAGGTCCAACTCATGTCCTACATTCTCCACAAAGCTTTTTAAAAAAAACACCTGAATCAACTGATTTCTCTCTTATCTACTTAATAGATTATACACTAAAATGCAAATCATATGTTAATCTGAAATATTCTTTTTTTTCTGAAATATTCTTTTAAAATGTTAAAGGTAAGGCACACTTTTTGAGCACAGACTATGCAAATGGAAGCACTGCCATTTAATCTACCCAACAACCCTATGAAGGTTAATAATAATTTTATAGATAAGGAAATCAGTGTCAAAGAGGTTACTGTTCCCCCAGAGAAACAGCAAACAAGTAGTAAAAATCCTAAATTTAATACCAGTTACATTTGATTTCAAAATCCTATGAGAAAGAGTAACTTCAGTGAAATACTAGTCTAGTACCATGTGTTAACTCTTACTGAAAAGAGATTTATGCACCACTCAAAACACCTAAAGTTTACTTACTATCTCAAAGGAAATTCTCTTTTAGACCTTTTAATCAATAGTATTATTGATTGACTCTGTAAAATCTGTTGATGAAAATTCACTGTAAAGGTTGTTAGGGTATTCTTACCATCTAAAGAGTGCATAAAAATTACAATGCTTTTAGTTTTTAATTCCTCATGTTACAGAAATACAATTACAAGATAACTCAAAAGTAATATATTATAAAATGTTTTATAGTTCCATTTAAATAAAATTCTATTTAACTTTTCCAAAATAATTTGTTATTTATGATTTGGCAATCTATAATACTATAAAAAATAAACAAAACCACATGGATCAATTTATTCTAAAACTTCAGAATATAACTACCTGAGCATGTTTGCTAAAGATTCATAGATATAAAGTAGACAAGAAAAGTAAGACACTTAAATTCAGACTGTATTTGCTGATACCAAGGAATAGTCACCAAGCAATACTCACCAAGCATTTACTAGCAAATTTTGTTTTCTTTAAACTTAGAGCTATTTATCTTAAAATTTTGATAAAGTATTATGTGCCTGACATGACAGTGACTATTTCTGTTTGTGAGTATAATGCTAAAAGCTAATTTTATTCTTCTCTGTAAAATTTAGATGACGTTATCGTCAGATAAAATATATGGTCCATTTTTAAATAAAAGAAAATTTTACATAACTGTGAAAGATTTAAAAAATCATTTCATATATTTTTTCATCATTTTATTAACAAAATTTCAATGAAAAAGGAGTTTATGAATTGTTAAACAGTTTCCAGGAATAAGCTTACTAAAACCCTATCACACAACAAAAATACTCTTTCCATCCTAATATGCTTTCTAACTCCCAATAATCTCTCCTTTTCATTATTATTGTACTTGATAAGTATCATTTTCTCTAAGTAGTATTTCTATAACTATCCATCAAGACACATCACTAATTAAATAATAAAAGTCAAATTAAAAAATAAATAAATTTGATGCTAACAGAGAGATTAATTTCATGAGTTCCTAATTTCTTCTTAGATCTCAGACACAAAAGCTAATTCTTGTTTGATACCATTGAAGACTAAGATATTCCCTATCTTATTCTTTGGAAAAGTGAGCTAAACCACAATGAGTTATAAGTATGAACTGAGTATAATTTTTAGATTTAGAAGAAGAATGAATTTTACAAATATTGACAGCAACTTTTCATTTCAGTTAATTTAAAAGCCTGCAAGCATTTTTCTAACATTGGTTTAGAGTACATACAAAAGGGACTCCTTAGTTCTCTTGTTTTATCATAATATTTTCTGAATAGTATATTAAGCTTTCTTTCCTAAACCTTATCTCAAACCTGTTTGTTAGTTTAGGAGGAATATCATAGCATTTTTCATTTTATATATAACCAAACCGCATATAAGAGGGTTAATCAAATTGTTTAACTTTTAAAAAGATTAGTAATAATTACTGTAAGCATTGTAGTATAATCATGTTACTTCCAGGTATGTTCACCTCTAATGGTGCAAATTCAGAGAAATGCTCCAAACACAGCAATCAACAAGCATGATTCTTTAAGACACTTAAAAGGTTTCCTGTAAGCCATGAGGAAAAACTTCTTCATGAGTCAATCTTTGTATTTGTCTTGTTGTAATACCTTTATATATATAAAGTATTTTACTGATTTTGCTAAAGAGTGCAAAAGACTTCCAAATCTATTGTCTCATGAATTTTATATATAATGACTGGTTATAATAAGGTAAAAACAATAAAACATCTTGTTTTATGACTATTATTCCAGCCTCACATGCAAATTCACTAACATGACTGTTATAATTTAACAAATAACCAAAATTGCAAAGGTAACATCATTTTTACTTTTTTCTTACCAAAGAAAACATAGCTTTTAATAAATACCCAAGTTCTGGAAAAGCACATTTTAGGGTAGCACCGTCTTCCTAAAAGCAGCAATTATAATAAAGCCTAATAGTATTTAATTATATTTACCTGTCTCTGTCTGGAGAATAATGGTCATCCACGACACGATGTCTATCCATTCGGCTAATTGTATTATAATGTCCAGTAGAGGAGCGTGTCCCCCGAAGTCCCTGTTCCACATTCCGGCTGAAATAACAAGATCCATTAAGTATCTTAATAAATCATAATCATATGCTACACTAAGAAATCAGGTTTATTAATAAAGATAGTAGAAAGACAAAAATCACAGTAATGTCAAGACTGACAAACGTGAAACTCTGGTTAACGGTATACATTTTTACTGGAGATTGACAGTGAAGTTAGAAGATTGCTGCTATGACAGAGATATGATATATTAAAAAGCTAGCATCAATGGGATCAGCAATAAGGATTATCAAAACTAGTATAGAATGTCACCCAGGTCTCTAGTAGTGATATTTCAATGACAAATGAAATACAGAGGGACAGATTTGTGCAAAGGACATCATTTCAGCATGTTGCTTATAGACAGACTATTGATAGATTTTGTTTTAGGAATAATGATTGCAATTTGTTTTTCAAAATCTAAATTGAAGTTTTTATAATTGATCAAGGATGATTTATTCTAAGCCACCATGCTTAGCCTGAATTGTCTACTTAGTTCTTTTTCATGATAGAATAAACTATTTAACATCTTTCTTTAAAATTGAGGTGACACCGGTTTACAATTCTGTATATGATTCAGAGCTATAGGATTACTCCTCTATAAATAAGTTCCTTTTAGTTTAACTTTCCTATTACGTGCAGCTGAATCTAATATAAACCCTATGCCTGTTGTCTATTGGCATGGACAGATATTCCTTCTTATGTAAAACTCAAGTATTCCTCTTTTTTTTTAAATGAGGAATGACTTAATTTATTCATTACAAATTCAAAATCTAATTTTCAGACTGAATTCAGATTAAAAATCTTATTATATTGATAGGTCTATTATATTTAACTGAGTATTTCTCAAATGAATTTTAATGTTGGTCCTACTTACAAACTTAGTTAATTAAAATGCATTCAAAGATTTCAAACTATGTTTCTAAATTTAATGTATTTGATTTTCTTTTTAATTGCCTCAATTGTCTAAATTATATGAAAGTTCTAAGTGCTAAATGTTCATACCATATATAAAATTAAGATTACATTTAATTAGGTTTAATGAGAATTCTAAGTCTAAAACCAAGTTGGTTATTCACTTAAAATAGGATTTATAAGGCTATCATTTAAAAATAGGAGTCGTAAGGCTATTATTATGAGTCCAAATTTCCTTTATCATTTTAAGTATATAAAATGTGAATTACACAGATATTTATTATTAGCAAACATATTATTAGCATGGATCTTACCTCATTAAACCTGCTTGTATTTAACTGGATTTAAATAGGCAGTTTTCCACTCAGTGTAAGACATAAAGCTGCATGTTTTCTGAGCCATTTTTCCCACTGTTGGACTATTCCTATGTATTTTTCACATGATTATTCCTAATTTTAAAGCTCTATCAGATGTTTTTCTTCCTATTTATTTAGTTATCAGTTTCTACATCACTCATGAATATAGCTGGCTCTAGCTAGATCTTCTCAATATATGATTGAAAGCTGGATCTTCTTTATGATTTTGAAACTTTATAATAAAATAATATTTATATCATCCAAAGTTACAAAGTGGACCATATTTCATATTAGTCTCATTACACGGGTTATTAAATAGCATCTTTGTTTTTAAGTAACATTTTCCATAAGAATTTCTTATATTTTGAGATTATTCATGATACTTTATAATAAATAGTCTTATGGTACCACAATAGAAATAAAATGTGTAAAATGTATATGCTTTCTTACCTTTGTGGAGGAGGGACACTGGGTGACCATGATCTAGTCCTTCCTATTACATCCACTCGGTGAGGAGACCCTGATGGTGAACAATGATTTGATGACATTACTTGTTCTGGCACTGATAATGTTGAACTTTGAAGATCTCGACCATTATGTCGATAATCTAAAGGTGGAAAAATTAATATTATAATGGCCTACGCGCTTTTAAATTCTTCACTGAGAAACAGTGTTGATGAAATTGAAAGGGTTTGGGTATATTAAATATAAACCATAATGAAGAGAGCATAATATTATGGTAACAAGGGCTAACAAGAACAGTAAATATTAAGAGACCTTGGATAGGGGTAGTGAAAGAAAGATTAAGGTAAGATCTGTGAAGCTGGACATAGCCGCCCAGGGGAGTAAAGCAACTGGGAGAGAGCCAATCACAAAGAGGATGATGAGATTTTCAGAGTAGAGAAAAACAGGTGAGGTAAAAGGGATGTGGGTGAGGTACCAATAGTGTCCACTACAACTATCAAATATAGCAATTGTATACAACATATACTAACATAGCTGAATGAAGTACGCCAGAGAAATACAGACTCATATAGATGTTGATTAGTCACATGCTCTTCCTCTTGGCTCACTTTGGTCACAAACTCTGTATTAGAGGTACTTACTGCAAGGGTTTTCCTGGTGTTTGTCAAAATTTTCCTTGGCACCATAACTTTGTAGACTTAGACATACTCCTTCCATACAGATTCCTTCATTTCATTTTAAAGTCCAACATTTTAATAGTTTTTATTGCTTAAAATGTAATATGACTTCTTATTTATTCTTGTATTTTTATTTTTAGTATTGATTACAAATCTGCATGGTTTTTGAACAGTCTTATCTAGAGCTGTTTTCCCAGAAGCCCTATTGGTTTTGGTCCATGAACTTGCAGATCACAAGGTTTTTTTCAGGAATACATATGTTATATAATAGAAACATCTGCAATGAAAGATATTATCTCCCTTGACATTTGATGAAACTGAGACAAAGAAATTGACACTAAGTGTCAAACAATAGGGCTAGGATTTAAAACAAGTTCTATCTGACTCCATTACTTTTTTTTTTTTAAGACTTATTTATATATGCATACAAGAGCTGGGTTACAGGCCAGAGATGCGGGGGTTGAGAGGATTTACCAGAGACAGACTGGGGAACAGAACAGATCTACTGAAATATACTGCTAAGGGGAGCAGTGGGCGAGACAGGAGAGGTCTGCTGTGCCATGTGGGTTGCTCTCTGGACGACTGGGGATCGAACTTGTGCTGCAGAGGCTTCAGATTGCTTCATAGTGCGGTGCTTAACCCCTTGTGCCACCAGGAAGGCCCAGACTCCATTACTCTTATGGTATTATAATACTAGATTCTGCTCTCATGATTTAAGTAATAATCCAGGAAGATGAAGCTGAGAGCAGAACAGACGTTAAACTAAATGTTAAAGATGTTGCAGCATCTTTAACTAATTACTCTTATAAAACTAATTACTAATTACTCTTATAAAACTAAGACTAGCATTGTCCTACAGAACTCTCTAAGAGGGGGGAAATGATATCTACTAGCGTTCGCCATTATGGCAGCCATCTGAGCACTAGAAATCTGGTGAGTGTTAATGAGGAACTGCTTTTTTAGTGCATTCATTTTAAACTGATTAGATTGAAATAGCCATACATAGTTTGCCTTGGTAACTGATACTACATTGCCTTGGTAACTGACACTACATGGCTACTGATACTACATCAAATCAACACGTTTATTCATTCAACAAATAATTATGAAAGTATGTGTTTCCTATGTACAGGTAAGTGTAGAGAGAGAAAAAGTCCAAGGATGATGTCTGGGGGTAATCTAATATGAATCAATAACATTTTGTGACTAGACACAGAAGCAAATGTAAGGAAGAAATAAAAGAGTCTTTACTTTTGATTACCCCTTCAGGAAGTTAAGAGTATATTATGAAGAGTGGGAAGTTTAGCAAGGTTTACAAGATGGAGAAGAATGTTTTCAGGCAATATTGCAAACAGTTATATATGTGGGATAGAATCCTCCTGAGAAAAGCATGAGGACTATTAATAAAAGTTTGAGTTATTTATAAAAAGACAATCACTAAAATCCAAAGAAAGGGGGTATAGAGAGAAAACAGACTTAACTACTGAGTTTAAGGAGACTTGAGAAAACAGGAAAGCGTTATTACAGAAAGAAAACTCAGATAATGCAATCATGTGGAAAAATAATGTAAATCATGTAAAAAATAATGTAGTTTTAAGAAATTATTCATTATCAATAATGTGCTACTTGTATATATCAAATATGATTTTTAAAAATGAGCACCAGGGAAGATAAATGACTTAGGGAATTACTTTTCTAAAGAAGACATACAAATGGCCAAAAGACACATGAAAAATGTTCACCATCACTTATCAAAATCACAATGAGATGTCACCTCACACTAGTGAGGATGACCTATATCAAAAGGACCAAAACCAGTAAATGTTGTCAAGGATGTAGAGAAAAAGAAACCTTACTATACTGTTGGTAGAAATGTAAACTGTTTCAACTTCTATGGAAAATGGTAAGGTTTCCCAAAAAACTTGAAATGGATCTGCCACATGACCCAGCAATTATACATGCACACACACATTTATATACAGTGTGTATATATATAAAAACACACATAACGGAATACTACTCAGCAATCAAAACAGATAAACTCATGTCATTAGTAACAAGATGGATGGAATTGGAAGAAGCAATACTAAGTGAAATACTAAGTCAGAAGGAGACAGATAAATACCAGATGGTGTTACTAATAAGTGAAATACACAGAAACCAAATCAAGAACTAGAGGAAGATAAACTTAAAAGCAAGTCCTTGAAAACTGACTAAAGAACTGATGTATCCAAGGAGGTAGGGAATGGGGTAGAAACCAAATGGAAGGAAGCCCAATGGACTACGGTGGTAGACTACAGGTGATGTGATGGTGGGTACTCTACAGTGGTGACACCTGTTGGAGAGAATCCAAATGTTACCACAATTGAAAAATAAACTGATTAATAAAAAAAGATTATAGGTATCTTTTAAGAGTTAATTATTAAAATAGCTCTCTAAGAGACAGTTAAATTCTTACCTTCCCAGTGGAAAATAAATTACTTACATTTGTATATTGTTTCACTAAGAGTGTAAAGTAATACTAAAATTGTATGTGGCTGGGCTGTGATTTTATTATATATAATATAGTACAATATTATATATATCATATTTATGTATATACATAGATATTTAGGTTGTGGGATGAATCAACTTGTTCAAAATATAGTTAGCTTATAACCACTCCCACCCCATTACTCAGTAGACTATGAGGAGAAGCAAAAATCCATGCCCAGAAATGCTTCCTGAGAAATTTAAATTTCAATATCAAAGTTTCAATTTACTTTGAAGAATAAAGTGATTTTATCATGCAAAAGTCAAAATTATCTCTGATTTGAGTTAATCAGAATAAACAAAATAAAAAGTACATGGAAAATACTACTCTGGCATAGGTAATTTTCAAGTCATCTGCCTTGTAAACTTGGGAAAATTGAGTAAGGCAACAAAAACTTTATTATAGAGAAAAGATTGACAGTTCAGGTTTAAAAAAGGTCATGAATGGTTGTTAGCGAACTCTAAATTTGACTGATAAGTCATTTGCAATTAGAAAAAAATACCAGTATATTGGGCAACAAAGTATTAACAGATTTGCTGTTATATTGACATATACTATGTATTGAAAATGCTAGTTAAGGCGGGGGAGGGTGTTGTATATATGTGTGTGTGTGTATATATATATATATATATATATATACACATATACGTGTGTGTGTGTGTGTTTGCCATTCAAATTTGAAATGCCTTAGTAACAATTTTGTAGACAATACAGGACTACTTGCTTGATTTTGTAGTCAAATTATTTTACAAACTATGATAGAAGCAATTATTCTCTATGGAAACTAGTCTTGATGATACAGCTTTAAAACAGAAAGACTAAAGTGAAACGAAACATCATAATATTTTTTAACTGAATTAAAATATGTTTAAATCTTAAGTTATCATGATGCTCAAATAATTAGTATATCATTTACTAACATTATGGGCCTATGAAAAGATAACATTTCAGAAAGTACAATACCATATCCTGATTTTGAATATTCATAAAAAGAATATGGAGATGACTTCAAATTTCAAATCATTACAAAATCCAAGTAGAATTTACTGCATTATTAAAGTTATGATGAAAATAACTGATGCAATCACTGGATTTCAAAATTGCAAAATACACGATGCTACACAGCCTTCTTTTCTCTTCAATGGACTGTTTAATGATTCACTACATGGTCTTTACATAAATAAAAAAAGTTGAGATAAAACATGATTTTCATGATGTTGAAAAATAATGAGCACAGGTTAAACACTAAATTACACAGGTTCTCTGTGCACTATTCTGAAATAATGACAAAAACATTCAAGAGTATTAACCCAAACGATGATCCCAAGAGTTTTTTTTTCAAGAGATATAATTCATTTAACAGAATAGAAACATAATAAAATGATTGTGTTAATTGAATATTTTTGCCATCCTGAAAAGAGATAATAAAAGAAATGAGATGTGCCAAAAATGCTATGAAGGTGACTTGATGTGGCCAGATATTTATAAAAGAGGAGAAACAGAATAGTCCTTTAACAGAGGAACAGAACAAAAGAAAAAGAATAGAGAGAAAAAATTAGGATGAGAGCCAAGCAAGAGATCATGGAAAATGGGTTTTAAAAACACATTGTTGAGGTTTCTAAAAGGTAAAAAATAATTTGTAGTCTTAGTAAATTAGTATATTGCTTATCCTTAGTGCAAAAAATGAAGGATAAATGGTAGTCATTAAGTTTTTAAAAAGTAGTAAGTGGGCCTCCCCGGTGGCACAGTGGTTGAGCACTGGGTTGCGAAGCTGCCTGCGGCCTCTGCGGCGCTGGTTCGATCCCCGGCTGCTCCCTGGCCACCAGAGGAGGGTCCCACATGGCGCGCAGACCTCTCCTGCTGCCCGCTGCTCCCCTCAGCAGTGTACTTCTGTCCTTCTGCCTGCTCTGCTCCCCGCTCTGGCTCTGGTGAATTCTCTCACCCTCCCATGCTTCTGACTGTACCCAGTGCATGTATAAACAAAACAAACTAGCAAATAAAATAAATAAATAAATAAAACATGCCTCTATAAAAAAAAAAGCATAAAAAAAAATGTTTTAAAAAGTAGTAAGTACACTGATAGCATAATTGACCCATACTCACAAAAACTGTTATTAGTCATTGATGAACAGCAGCATGTCTTAATACAATAGAAGAGTTTGTTGAGGATAAAATGACTCATAATTATGAAATCTGTTGGGTGACTAAACTTCAAGAAGAGAATCAAATATTTTTATAATATCAATGGTATAATGAGTATATACAAACATTTTTTCAGATTTTATCAAAAATAACTACTTATCTAAAATGATAAATCATTAGATAAATTTCTAACTGTAAATGAGCAATTTTTAAACTATAATAACATAATTTCAAAATGTATATATATATGACTGTTTATATAAAAACAATGAAAAAATTACCATAAAAGCTCATTCAAATATTTGACATATTTGGGTATGCTGGCGATGTCAAAAAGATTTCTCTTTTTTTCTTGCACTGTTTATGTAGAATAAAGAAGTTTCACTTACACAATAATTCCTCAAATTTAGTGAAATTCTTAATATTTAGTAGTTCAAAAAATAGAAAATTTATTGGGATTCAATTATCAAACATATTTCAGTAAGAATTTTCACTATAACAATTGGCACAGGTGCTCCAGCCACTAAAATTACTTAGGAATTTTAAATTACCATAAAATTATTTTTGGAGATAAATAGCCAAGTTCTTTCACTCTCTCCTTCCCTTTCTCCTTTCTCATATGCATGATTAATAATTAGTGATGAATTACACTTCTTCCTTATTAATATAAAATATGAAACTCTTACCTGATACTACACCAATTCCATCATCACAGTCATAGTCAGAGACTTCACTATCACTTATTCTCTTTGACCCTATAAGGCAAACAACAGCAAAGATTAAAATTGCTGATTCTTTAAAGGGGAAAAATTCCTACCAACCTGCAAAACAAATGAAAGGGTTTTGAACAGAACAACTGAGAATAAAAAATAGAGAAAATATTCATTATGAGTTCACCAACCGCAGCATGTCTTAATACAACAGATTATATTATTATTGTGCACATTTTGAATATGAAGATATGAATGATGAGGAGTTAGCTATTTACACAAGATTTACTCTTGAAATGTATGATAAAGTTCTACATGGTTTAAAGCTTGAAATATTAAATAATATATGTTATTTGATGCTGGTTTTTAAAAGTATATTATTTACAATGAGTCTGTATATGATTGGGGGGTACAAGGTCACACCTCTTAACATGTATGTTACAAAGTGAGACAAAAAACTAAGTAAAATATAGCTAAGTCAATTTTAATTAGAAAAAGCCACTTACATCTAGGTAAATTTCAAAATATAGTATGTGATTTTCAAAAGCACTCATGTGTCTTTTTTCCTATAGATGACCAGTAAATTAAATATACACAATTCTTTTCATATGCTTGTTGAAATATAATTAAAGACATTTAAAATATCCGTCTTTTGTTACTAGTGTAGCACTTCTCTTGCTTTGAGGAAAAAATGAGAAATAAATCATTCATAAAACTGCCTAAAACATCTAAATTGCACTTTGTGTTAGGTTTTCAAAGAAACAGTTTTAGACAGAGAATAATTATTATAATTCAAGAGCTTTAGGTTTGTAACTCCCTTAAAAAAGTCTGTAACAAAAATTTGAAATGTCCATCATACTAGTAACATTCAATAAAATTAAGCAGACCTTTGATGACTGAAACAGATTATGTAGTCACATTTAATATTGAAATTTATCCATATATAATCATGTTATAATTTATATTTTAATATCTTTTTCCTCACACACCTCTCAGGAGTAGGTACACCCAACCTATTACTATCCATCATTTTTCCTTTCCTTGGTATCAGAAAACATTTAATGGTAGAGACAGTTGCTATTTCCAAGAATGATTTGTTTTGTTTTTTCTGTCTACTTACACAACATATATTTTGTTAAATAGATTAAACTTGAGGGCCTCCCTGGTGGCACAGTGGTTGAGCGCTGGGTTTCAAAGCTGCCCGCAGCCTCTGCAGCACTGGTTCGATCCCCAGCTGCTCCCCGGCCACCGGAGGAGGGTCCCACATGGCGCGCAGACCTCTCCTACCGCCCGCTGCACCACTCAGCAGTGTACTTCGGTCCTTCTGCCTGCTCTGCTCCCCGCTCTGGTGAATTCTCTCACCCTCCCGCGCTTCTGACTGTACCCCAGTGCTTATATAAATAATAAATAAATCTTTTAAAAATATATAGATTAAACTTGATTATCAGAAAATAAGTGCTTTCCTAAAAGGTTTATAAAACACTGAGAGCTCTTGTTGCATTAGGTGTCTCAATAGCAATAGTAGAAGGGATTCCTTCCAGTATTTGCAACTTCCTCTAACACCCTTTACATTTTTTTTTCCACTTTAATCTCTACCCTTTTGGGATAGGGAGTCTTTGTTGCCAGGGACAGAGGTTCTCATTTTTCCCATTTTAATGACAAGGTAGAAGATACCTGTTTTAATCATGTTGTCCCACAGAATGAACTCACTACCATCTTCTTTCCAAGTTCTTATCTCATAAATCTTTAGACCCAATCAACCCTAAGGTTCTTATAGCCCCAAATGATATATATATGGAAACTACAACTATCTGATAACCTCCCAAAAGATCGGGCACAAAAGAATGTATTACAGTAGGACATAACTTTTTTATTTTTTTCTTTCATTTTTGTTTTTTATTGAGGTAACACTGGTTTACAACATTGATTATGATTTAGAGGTACAGGACTACCCTCTTCACCGTATATTACCATACCACACCCACCACCAAGTCTCCCACAGTCCTCCACCTAAATGGAATTGGTTAAAAAAAAAAAAAAGCAAACATTGTTTAAAAATGAATAATAATGTAAAATATATATAAATAAATTTTTTTTTTAATTTAAAAAAATAAATGGAATTGGGAGTCAGGAGGGATAACACAGACTGGCTGTTGAGGAGAGATTTAAGTGTTGTTACTTAGCTTGTGACAAGGTTACACTTTGCAAATACCCAAGGACAGGATAATGATTAGTTGAATGTGCCAGGTACACTACAAGGTAAAAAGGTTACATGCTTTTGGTATTGCCAAGGATCAGATCTGCTTATAGTATTAAATAAGAATGACACAAGCAAACAATAAAGTTCACCTTACCAGGCTTGTGAGATTGTGTGTGTGTGGGATTGGCAGGTGTGGGGGAGGGGTTGGGAGGTAGAGGTGAGTGTTAGGTAGTGGTATGGGACTATATGTTTTGTCAACATTGCTTCATTCAAAATCTTGATGACTTTCTTGATGAAAGTCTTAATTTATTTGGTATTAATCTTATAGTGTTAAATATATTGCAATTATGTTCCATTTGTATTTTGTCTTTTCACATTCTAAAGAATTCAAGCTCTTAAGTTTAATGTCATTGAATGCATCAATCTGCTGTTTTTAAAAATAGTATTTTCAGTATCTTGTTTAGGAAATCTTTCTTGCGCTTATGAGCACAAAGATAATTCTATTAAATACAGTTTCTTCTGAAACTTAAAAAAATTAAACTTTTAGCATTTCCATCCTTATCTGTCTTAAATTAAGTTTGGGTATGGTATGAGACATGGATGTAACTTTGCTCTTTCCACATAGAACACACATATCTCAGCACTGTTCATTTAATATTTCCATCTTTCCCCAAAGATCTGCAATGTTACCTCTGTCATAGATAAATATATCCTATCTACTAGCATCTATATGATGCTCTATTATTTTCTCCTTATATAGGCTGTCTATCCACAAACCAATAGAGCTCACTGCCTTTGTTATTATTATAATACTGAAAAGCAAATCCATCATATTTTGGATGTTATCCCTCTGATCCTCCATAAATATTTCAGATTCAGGTTATCAAATTGCACAAAAACATTCTATTGGGATTTTTATTTGAACTGCATTGAATCAATACAGTCAAGGAGAACTGGTATGTATAATAGCAATGTTGTACTAGGAATGGACATATCAATTTCTCCATTCAAATTTCTATGAAAATTTTAACTTTTTCATTCACATTTTCCACATTTGTTGAACTCAGTTCTTTGCTTTCTACAATTTCTGTTGCTGTAAGAAATACTGTTAAACTAATGTTTTCTAACCTAATTAGTCATATACAGAAATAAAATGTTATTATAAAATAATGTTAACAAACCTTGTTAAGATCAAGCTTTTTTTTCCCCCCTATTAAATATATTGTGGTTTACCTTGGATTTTTCTACACAGGCTTATCTTTCTTTCTAATCCTAAAGTCACTTTTCTTTCTTTTTCTTGTCTTTCTATGCTAGGAACAATATTGCAAAAAGCAGAGAAATTTTATATTCCTTTAAAGACTAATTATGAACAGAATTTTTCCAACATTTCCCAATTATAAATGAAGTTTATCTGCTGATGTTACATTATATTAGATTGAGGAAGATCTCTTCAAATTCAGTTACATTTCATGAAATACTTTTGCATTTTTATTTACAAGTTACACTGACCTGTTATGTTTCCTTCCTGATACTAAACCTCTGGTTTAGGGTCAATATCATACTGCCCAATAAAAACTGACCATCAGTCCTTTTTTATTCTCTGGGAGAATCTGTGTAGAGTTGTAAAACAATCTGTTCTTTGAAATTTTGATGACCCTATCTATAAAACTATCATGATCTAGTGCTTCTTTTGCGGGAATATTTTAAATTACTATTCCATTTTTCAGCAGATGTAGAATGACATTGATTCAAGGTTTAGTTACATTTTTATAGTAATTTGTTCACTTTGTCTAAGTTTTGAAGTGTTTTCTACAATGATGATAATTTTATCTTATCAATTTATTTCCTGATGTTTATTATATTTCTATTTGATTCTTGTGCCTTCTTTTTTATTCTGTTTATAAATACCATTAAAATCTATTTGGTGATTCATTTCAAAGGATTAACTTTTGGGCCACATAATTCTATAGAAATCTGTTATTGATTTCTGGTCTTATTTTTATGATTTCTTTCCTTCTACTTTCCTTCCTCTTACCATCTGCTGATCTTTAGGGTTCTCATTCTCCCCTATCCAGTATTCTGTTGTGTGAGTAGTCACTTCGGTTTCTCCAAACTCTCAGTTCTATCTCCTAAACTAAGGGAGTCCATTGGCTGTATCTGAATTCTCTCCCTCTGTGTTATGGGCAGTAAATACTCTTAAATTGGTAGCAAGGATAAATTCAGGGCTCAACTCATTTTTCTTCTCATAGTAATTATAGTCCTCAGTTGCCTGATAGTCACTGTATTCAAACAATTGTCTCATACATTTGTCCATTTTTGTTGTTTGAGTTGGAAAGGTAAGCCAAGTCCCTTTTATTCCATCTTGGTTATTAGCCTTCCTCAGTACATATGAAGCTTTACTGGGCCAGTTCTGAGGTTATTAGCAATTACTTTCTAATCTTACTCAAGATGATAATTATGTAAAATATATAGTTGACTAAATTGAAAATATTTTAAAATATTCTCCAATTTCAATTGTTAAAATTAAGTGATGTTGCAGCAAACTATGAAAAAATTTAGCATCAGTTGAAAGTATATTGTATGAATGTATTCTTATTACATTTTAAAATATATATACTTATAATTTTAAGAAGACAAAAAAAATTGTGATAAATTAAAACTAAATCCATTCCATTTTCTTTGGAAGGTATGAAAAATTGCTTTTTAAGATGGAAGCTACAGCAAATATTATAATTTTAATTATGCTTTGAGTTAACAAGGCAAATATTGTAATTTTAATTATGCTTTGATTCAACGTTTAGAATTTTTAATAGTACCCTTCCATAAGTCAAAAATATTGCAATAGGGCTTCCCAGGTGGTGCAGCGGGTTGAGCGCTGCGCTGTGAAGCTGTCCCCAGCCTTTGCAGCGCAGGTTCAATTCCTAGCCGGCCAGGGAGAAACCCACATGGTGCCGCAGACCTCTCCTGCCTTGCCCACTGCTCCTCTCAGTAGTGTCTTAGGTCCATCTGCCTGTTCTGCTCCCCGCTCTGTCTGGTGAATTTTCTCACCCTCCTGTGCCTCTGACTGTACCCCAGTTCTTGTATAAATAAATAAATAAACAAATAAATAAAAAAGGAAAGGAAAACAGTGATTTAAAAAAATATTGCAATAGTATCTAAGCAAATTCAAATTTTCTTAAATAGTGGGCACAATATAATAAAAACACTTCATTGAATAAATAGTACCATACAAAAGAAGATGATACTACACACACTGATACAAAAAAAAAAATCACTAGATTTCAACAAAAGATTTTTAATAACCAAATAATAAAGATGTAAACTTGGAGATACTGGAAATGTTCTACAGGCAGAAAAGGGAATCTATCGAACATTTTTTAGGAGTTTAATATAGGCACAGTAGTCAAAACACAAAAGAACAAAACCAGTAAAACTGTGCATATTAATACATGCATTAATCATTGCACATACTAAAATTTACCTGAATTGTATGAACATTAAGGCTTTATTTGGTGAAAAAATTGTACAAATGATGTCAAAAACATATTTTAAGATCTTTACGTATTATAGGGGTAATGAAATCTAATTTCTGTCTTACAGTATAGAGTGTAGTTTAACATTATTATTTTTAGGTGAAAAAAAGACCATACTAATTCAAAATAAAATAAGAAAGGAAGACACAACATGTATGATTTAGTAAAAAATTCAAATTATAAATTACATTAGTAGAAACTTTATTATGTGAAATAATTACAGGCCAACAGAAGCACAAAATAGGAAGAGAAAGGATATAAAATAAAAATTAGTAACAGATCTGCTGTACATAACAACAGTTATCAATTCTATTTTATATGGTCATATAGCATAACGTGAAATGTATGAGATAACTATTAGAGCAATTTATAATGAAGAAGCAAATAAAATCGAAGGTTAAAATCATTAATTTTATAATGACTGATTTGGACAAAGTGTATTTTAAAATCAATTTCTTTTTGGAAGAAAAAAACTGAGAATTTATAGGGAATGAGTTATTTTTATATTCTCATTTGATAAATATATATAGAGTATACTATCACAAGTAAGTTAGCAGACTACAAATTAGTTAAGACCTTTCAACGTGAATAATTTACAAAGATTTAAAAAGCAGAGGAATATTAATAAGGTGTTTTCACATTGGAACAGGAGTAAATTATTGTTTGAATATACATTAGAATTTTTTAAAAAATGTATGAACTACACTGCTGCAAAAACACCAGAGTAGTGAAAGATGTCATGTAAATAATTGTCCTGACTCATCTAAGTTCTTAGCTAGAAGATAATAAATAACAGGAAAATAAAATAATACTTTCACAGGTTATTAATTATAGAACAGTTTAATTCAAAGATTTAAAGTTTGAAAGTCACGATCTGAACTTTTTCTAACAAATAAAGGAATAGTATATTTGGCATAATTAATCTCTCTCACTAGTAATCTACAGAAATGGAGGAATTTATTTGGAGGAACAAAAAAGAATTTTCCTGGCTACTCTGTAGGAATGTTATAAGGACAGAAGAATAAAATTATTGAAGTTAGGGGAAAATAAGAGTTAAATAATTTTATAAGAATGGTAACATTTTATGAAGGATGTATTTTCATAAAGATAAAATAAATCAGCTAAAGAGACCATACTGAAATTAAAATATAATAGGAACTAATGATCCTATTGCAAGTTATCTACTTTATTTTTATATATCTACTTTATTTTTAAAACAATGTACTTATTTGGGTCCAAGCTATGATGTCAAAAATCACTGAAAGGAATTTTGATGAACAAAGTAGGGAATAAATTACGTATTGTGACAGTTACCATTGTCATAGATATATTGTGACTTTGGAGACTACTATGTTCATTGAAGAATAAAAGATAATCTAAATGCAAGCAGATAGACAAATAGAGGAACATATATTGAAAATAAACATTGATGATGCTTCAAAATGCCAAAAACTCATTGTATCACAAAAAAAACCTCTGAGTAATAACAATGAACTATATCATCCAAAAAAAATAAGAAAATAAAAATGACAACAGAAATAAAGTAACAATTTTTCTTTACAAAAAAAGAAGCTGAAATCAATATAAAAGAACAATTTGCAAAATCAGTTGAACATACATAAATAATTGATACTACAAAATGGTCACATGAAGAGATTGATCAAGATATGCATTATCGGAAATTATAGGGAAAAAAGTCTAATAGAGTTTATACAGCTAATAAATAAAAATGTTACTTAGATTCAATTACTACAGTGTATATAATTTTAAATTGTAATATCAATGAATTGTTATATAAGTTATGCTTAAGTAAAAACACTGAACATATTGTAATCCAAGTAAATATCTATGTTGAAACAGTATCTTAACATGTTGAACTAATTAACATTTTTAGTAGTCTTAAAATTCTCTGTAGACAATCTCCTTGTATCACATTAAATGCTTCTAATTAAAATATATAGGATGGTGATATTCATATTCACTTTGATTTACTCGTATGCAAAATTTATGCTAATATATGCAAAATCTTAAAATTTAGAATGGATGTATATTTAGTAAAGGAAATATTTTTATTGTGTTCTTCCTTCTTTATGTCATTCTGCTGTTCATGCTCTTTAATGGCTACACAGAATCACGAAAATTCATTCCTGTGAACAATGTTTCCACCTATAACAGTGTCCTCAGAAAAAGCGAATACATGCTCCATATTGATCTCATAATATGTATAACACCTTTCTTTTTTCCAAAGCAAGTATAATTCTATGCTTTTTTTATAGATTGGAAGATCTAGACATTAAAGGTTAATCAACTTAAGTTTACTATGCTTTTTACGATTTCAAAGGTATTATTTGAGGTTTTTCTATAAAGTACACTGCTGTTAGGTAGACACCCAAATGGTTTTCTCAAAGTAATTTATATTGCTGATCTATTTAAAAGTCAGAGGTAGTCTCATGCATTCTTACTATTTATCACTATTTGTGTAATAAATATGTCCTTCAGAAAAGGATCTGATGTTGAATCCAGCAGTGCAGATTTTCACTGCCAGAATTTCAAATAAGACATTTTAATGAGTTTGGGAGATTAAGTCAAAGGGTTACACAATTTCTTAAAATTATAAGAATGGCACTGCTATAATAACTATATAATAAAAGACAGTAAACTTTCTGAAATGTAGCTCTTTCTGCCGTTATTATAAAGTACCTAATTCTTTAAAATGAAATAAGAAAGTAGATATATGCATTCTGTCATATAGTTCCTTTGTTAAAATTAAATTTTATGTTCCTATTAAAAATTAGAAAATTCAGAATTTAGAAAAGGTTTTTAAATGAGAAAAAAAGCTGCCAAAAATTTTTGAGCTATTAATTAAAATGTAAATTTTTATTGCAGTACTTTTAATAATATTGAAAATACATGCTAGATAAACTGATTTGAAGATATCTACTTTATTTTTAAAACAATGTACTTATTTGGGTCCAAGATATGATGTCAAAAATCACTGAAAGGAATTTTGATGAACAAAGTAGGGAATAAATTACGTATTGTGACAGTTACCATTGTCATAGATATATTGTGACTTTGGAGACTACTATGTTCATTGAAGAATAAAAGATAATCTAAATGCAAGCAGATAGACAAATAGAGGAAAGCCATTTCTTCCCTGATTCATTCCACTGCAGTTTGCAAGTTTCCCTAATATTTAATTCATTTAACTTTCTCCAATCCAAAATACATGAAGCTTCATTTATAAGCAAGGTAGGCATTTGTACATATGGAATAATGAAGGGTACCCCCTACCCTCAAAGCACAATTCTTTTTCAGGTGCAGCACATCAAAGAGAGGTAATAAATCACATTCAGATATTACTATTTGCAGATTGGCAAGTGTGATTTTAGTAGCCAGGGAAGACATCGCAGAGGAGGTATAGTGGAATTTCAGGTTAGAGTCACTAGTTGGAATTACTGTAATAGTCAGGCATCCATATACACACTAGTGATTTAAAGAAAAACTAAGCATAAGGGCTTCAGCTAAGGATAAGTAGTAGCAAAGATAAGTAGTAGCAAAAGTGTAGATGTTAAGTTAAAGTTAAGAAAGGTTAACTGAACTAAGAATTGAAAAGTATCTTTTGGATTTTTCAATTAAAACCATCAATAGGTACCATAAGTAAAGCAATTTGAATGGAACAGTGGAGTAGAAACCATTGGATTAGTATGTGAAGATTTATTGACAGTGAGAATCAACTTGAATAACTTGTTCAAGAAAATTTAAACAAGAGCAGTAGGACAGCGAAAGAGTACTGTATTTTACTGGTTCAATTTTGTTTGCTTGCAATTTCAGACGTGTATAAAGATGGAATTCCAGAGAGATAGGATTCTTGGAAAAAGAAAATTTCCTTAAGAATCAAGAAGGGGGCCTCCCTGGTGGCGCAGCGGTTGAGCGCTGGGTTGTGAAGCTGCCCGCAGCCTCTGCAGCACCGGTTTGATCACTGGCTGCTCCCCGGCCACCAAAAGAGGGTCCCACATGGCGCGCAGACCTCTCCTGCCGCCCGCTACTCCCCTCAGCAGTGTACTTATCCGTCTGCCTGTTCTGCTCCCCACTCTGGCTCTGGTGAATTCTCTCACCCTCCCACACTTCTGACTGTACCCAGTGCTTGTATAAATAAATAAATAAATAAATAAATAAATAAATAAATAAATAAATAAATATTTTTTTAAAAAAAGATAAGCTAAACTTTACTGATAACTTACTTTGCAACCTCCGTGTTGGACTCTCTCCGTGGAGCTGCCGCCGTGGCATATAAGGAGAAGGGTGGGGAAGAGGCAATGAAGAGACATCATGGGTCTGAAGTTTGTACCAATGTGGCTCATCATCTAGTAATGCTGTTTCTAATTCAATTAAAATCTACAAAGGCAAGATACAAAGGACTGTTATATATCAACAATATAGAGATTCTCTAAATGGTCTAACATATTTACATATGACAGTATTTGAATTCAGGTACATGAGAACTACTATTTATTGATAAATCACGATTTAGCTATGGAAGGTAAAGAAGTAGAATAGCTAAGTTATTTTTTCATTCTTCTAAATAATCTCTGGTTATTTTTTTAAATTAAAACTACTATACTCCAAATGTTTACACACATACATACTTGTTTACTCTTCATACTACCCTTGAGTTAATACTATTATACCCACTGGTTTAAGAGAAAGCAGAAGCACAAGTAGAATAAATAAGTTGCTTGCTCAAGGACACAGACTAGGAACTGCCAGAACCGAGAAAGCAGACTTGGGCAGCTGGCATAGTCCCTCCTCTTAAAGACTCTATTACCCTACTTCCCAACTGGTATACCACTCTGATTTCTTAGCTAACATTCAGTTCAATCTTTTTATAGATTGAGGTTTCTTCCATGAAATTACCATTTAATTTACCCCGGAAAAACCAACCACACTGAAAAAGGCTGAAAGCAGGTAACTTAATAGCTGTTGAACTGCCTCTCGTATACATCTGGAAAGATTTTTCTTAAGCACAAGTGCCGTAAAGTCATTTCTTTAAAATAAAAAAAAAGATTTATTCTTATTTATTTATACATACAAGAATGGGGTGTAAGCCAGAGGTGCAGGAGGTGAGAGGATTCACCAGAGACAGAGTGGGAAACAGAACACGCAGATCTATTGAAATACACTGGTGAGGGGAACAGCAGGAGAGACAGGAGAAGTCTGCTGTGCCTTGTGGGTTAGCTCCCTGGTTGGGGATCGAACTCATGCTGCAATGGCTGGTGATAGCTTGATAGTGCAGAGACTTTAACCCCTGCACCATCAAGGAGGCCCCAAGTCATTTTCTTTTTAAAAGCATTATTAGTTCCCCTTATGCACAGAATAAAATCTAAACTTCTTAATATATTATGTTAAGGGAAAGGACCTGGTGTTAAGTTTAACTCTCAAGTATCATTTCATATCACTTTCTCTTCAATTTCAATGCAGTTGTACAAGACCTCCTTCAATTTTAGGGTCCTATTATTCGCTCTGCAGGAATTTCATTCCCCTTGAATTTGCTGAATTTCACATTTTCTGTGGTGAATTCTCTAAACCACTTCTTTTTACTCTTCACAGCAAGAATGTATTCCTACTGTATTTTCCCTGTAAGAGCACTTGCCGTACTACATTAAAATTGCCTATCTACTTGTCCATGTTACCAGTGGATTTCAAATTCCTTGAAGGAAGTAGTATGCTTTATTCACCCTTGAAGACTCAGCTCCCAGCATATTATGGGTACATTACAAAGTTTAAAAAAAAAAATCCATGGGGACCTCTCCTGGTGGCACAGGCAGTTGAGCGCCATGCTGTGAAGCTGTCCGCAGCCTCTGCAGTGCTGGTTCGATCCTGGCCGGCAGGCAAGGGTCCCACATGGCGCGGCAGACCTCTCCTGTCTCGTCAGCTGCTCCCCTCAGCAGTGTATTTAGTCAGTCTGCCTGTTCTGTTCCCTGCTCTGTCTCTGGTGAATCCTCTCACCCTCCCACACATCTGGCCTGTACCCCAGTTCTTGTATAAATAAATAAATCTTTAAAAAAATAATAAAATAAAAATTAAAATTAAAATAAATACATAAAAAATAATCCATGACTCAAGGGTGGATTATGGGAAGCAAAATAAATCAGAAAGAGAAACAAATACTGGATGTTTTCACTCATGAATTAAATATGGAAAAACAAGAAAAGGAACAAACAAAACTAAACCAAAACACACCCTAGATACTTGACTACAGAACTGAGGCTAGCAGTGAAGGAGGGTGAAGGAGAGAAGGGGGCAGCAAGGAGAGAAGGGGGCCCAATGGACTATGGGTGTTTTGATGAGGGGGAGGGTATGGCAATGTATATGTGAAGAGGTGTGAACACACACTTAAATCATATACACTGTTGTAAACCAACATTAGTTCAATAAAAATAAGTTAGTCAAAAAAAGAAATAGTACTATAAAAATTATGCATGAATAAATGATTGAACTACTAATGATACAGTTGGCTGGGCAAACCAGTATGATATACAAACGTTCAAACACAGTAATATATTTGTGAAATATAAATCAACTTTTCATGGTTCAAAACAGATTTCTACAGTAGAAATAAACATAAAATTTGACACATACTATTTAGAACCATGAATGATGGCATTCATCAGTTTTGTCTTAACACAGTAGTTAAATTCATTCCTTTAAGAAATGTATGCCTACTTTTTCAGATATTCAAAAATATAAAGTTTTACTGGTAGTCACATAAACAAAAGTATTCAAGAGGACACAAATAGTCTTTTTAAAATAATTTCAGATACCTCTCCTAAGAATTCACTTTCTTCCTCTCGAACTCTAGCTTGATCCCAAAGTGTAATCTCCAACATTCGTTCCCGAAATTCCCTTCGGTGCACTGGAGAGTAAATGAATGTTTGGTTCCACTTGGGTTCCAATGTTTTCTTTACTGTTTTAGTTCTTCTCTTATTTTTATCACTATAAAATAAGTGAGAATGTATGAACTTACATAAAATTTTAAGTCCTGTTCTAAAAATTAATTCAAAAATTTTCAGATTTTACCACAAATTTATCATCTATTGCAAATACTATAACCTTGAAAATTACTATTATATGTATAAAGTGTATAATTATATCACTTTGTAAGCATGACAATTATAGCAATATTGTAATAATCTAAACTTTTTCCATAATAGATAGCTATATCTTAATCTTCTTTAAAATCTAAATAAACCAGACAGAAGAATCTTAACTCTAATTTTTTAAACATATTGTCCTATTGCAAGCCTTCAAAATGCAATTAACCAACAATATTATATATACTATTCACTAAAACTACAGAAGTCTCACTGTAAATTCCAATAAACTGCCATCTTAACAACTTGACATTCATATAGTGGTGGTGAGCGATTTATATTTTTATCACATTACTTTCTAATATATAAGTAATATATACTTGATTATTTGACAGTTATCAGGTCTTCAAAAAACTGTAAAATGATTTCTATTCATCTGTTAGGTAGCCATTACAATATGGGTTGGATATATAAGCTGGATGGTAGGTAATACACTGTTACACTATCATCCAATTGAAGTTTATGCTAGATTTAAAAACTCTAGTTATTGACACCTTCTTCTTCTCTTGCAGGTCCAAATCTATGCTCTCTTTAAAAACCCAAGATGTTAGGAAACAACTTTCTTCAAGCAAACCTCTAACACCATTTCCAGCTTTTTGTTGTGTAGTTTGTGTTAAAAATTCATTTAAAAGCATAATTTTAATGATTTTTATAAATAAAAACCACATTATTTAAGAAATAATCCATTCAACCTAAAATATATATTCAATAACAGTCTATTACACATACATTTGATACACATTTTAAAAGTCTCAAAGTATTTATTGTCACTATTTCAATTCCTAAGAATTATTATGCTTACATTAGGTTTCATAAGTATCTGACTGATAAGATGTATAAAAATGATACAGAATTTAAACACCCACTGCAATGAATATTTCTCACTTACTTTTAAGAACATTTATTTTTGTTTCATATTCCTACCTTCTATCTGGAAGAAAGTAAATTTTAACATAAGGATTTCTTGGCCTCCCATCTTCCCTGGAAGGGAGATCCTTTGCTCCCAAAATTGTAACTATTAATTGGTGACCAACCTTGTCAAACCATAGTTTTATCTGAAAAGCAAAAATATTCATTTATCAGCTTAAACATTTATTATCATAACATCATGTTTATATTCCCAATCTTTGCCCTATTCTCTTACACTAATACTAGCACAGAATTTAATTCACTTAGTAAATTGTATAGTTAAAATAAAGGATATGCTATAATAACTTCAATGAATAGAGCAATTAATTCAGATATTTCAGTTTTATTGATAAGTCACTTGGGTTTGTGGCATCCTAATTTGATTGCATATTAACATGTACATAATAATTATATTCCCATAACTAAGAACTTTATATATAATGATTGTCCTATCTGTGTGCAAGGATCACTATAGTTCATTTTGATTCCCTTACAATGTGAATTCAAAATAAGAGCTCAAAATAATAACTTGTTTATATGGCATTCATAGTGGATTTTTAAGCAAATTCTTAAAGTTTTATGTTATTCTACAGAAAAAGACATTTAAGATTTTAAGGCAAATTAATAGCACTAATCAATAGTGTATTTAAGAGTGTATTTAAAACTATAAAGAACTCATTTAAAATTTTTTTTTTATACAGACATAAAGTCTCTTTTTTGTTTGCAAAGAGAATGTACCATACATCTTTAGGATTATAAGGTATATTTTGTAACTCAAGATGAGCAAGTGTGAAATATTTTCCTGTACCATAATTAGGAATTGGAACTACACCTTCAGCTAAATTCCCTTGATGTAGCAGTTGTCACCTCCCACACACTCCTCATACTCCCACACCTAGTTAGCTGATTCTACTATGTGAGAGTCTATGATAACGATGCCTCTGAACCACATTTTGGGTTTAGAACTCAGTACATCTCTGATCAGTATCTTGAACTTGAATTAGAGAAATCTAGAATTTATGATTTAATTTTTTCCCTTAATGCAGATGTACAATGTCTGCAGCAGTTTAAATAATTTAAGTACTTTTCATGTCAATCCTCCCACTTCTCAGTGGATAGTTAGGTCTGGGACTGGCTATGGGAAATCCATCATATATATAAGTCATGCATAAATAAACATATACTTATATATGAAACTAAGATCATTTATCTCCAATTCTGGCACGGTTTTGTTGAGTTCTTCACTTGATTTCTCAAAGAAGGAGAGAATAAGCAAGACTTTAAATCAGGAGAGCAAGACTGATGGCCAATATAAAATTACATATACGCTCCTGTCTCTTTTTTCTTGTCAAACAGAATCAGTCCTCTTACAAGAATAAACATAAGAGATATTAATTTTTTAATTATATTGATAATTACTACTCCTTATATTCTGTTTAGTTCTTAGGGTTAATACAGGTATCATTGTGCTATTGTGTAACCAAAGTCATCCTCATAGAGCTGCTATATAAAAATAGACTCTAGACAAGTGTTTTTTAAATGGTTCACAAATCTACATCAGTATCACCTCATTTATTTTTTTAAAAACTTACAAATTGCTGTAAGGTACTTTACACCTACTGAATCAAATTGAAAGTCCAGGAATTTGCATTTTAGCAAGTTCTCCAGGTAACTCTCTTGGGCTTTAAAGTTTGAGAATCATGGCCTTAGACTAGGGCCTCATTAAACTGCACAAAAATTCTCTGGTATTTGAGTGGGGAAAATTTTTTTTTTCAAATATTCGTGTGCCTAACAATATTAGAACATAGATACAGAGAGGGATAAGTGGAGGAAAGAGGCGAACTGTTCTGGCAAATGACATGAGGGGAAAACAAAAAGGGGAGAGATACAGGAGTTTCTCGTATATGAGTAAAACAGAGATGATGTCAGATAACATCAAGATTCCTCTAAAATGTGTAACCAAAACCAGACTAATTTCTGATATTCTCTATTTCTTATAGCAATAAAAAAATCATGGCTTTGTTATTCCATGACACTAAAAATCATTCTCTGAAGACTATGGCATGATTATTAGCACCTCAAAGAAAAAACAATTCTAAAAGCTAAAAAAATTGTTTTCAATAAACTTTACGTAAGAAACAAGGAGACTTGGTTATTGTTATTAGTCTAAGAGCATAATTATTGGAGTAAATGATCGATTTCTATAATAATTTTGTTTTGTATGAGGGAAGGGTAGAAAACAGAGGTTAGTCTGTGACTGATAGAATAATCAGGTGAAATAACTTACTACCTTTGGACCAGTCTGATTTCTGTGAGATTTATTTTTTTTTTAAGGGACTGAAACTAAACACTTGTTGCCATTCTCTGAGCAATGTTTTTGGCTCTTTAAAATCGTTAGAGCTAAACCTTTGCAATATATATTTCAAATATGTGATAAAAGGTATTCTTTTTAATTTTCTCATGCCATGGAAAACCAAAAATAACACTTATTAATAATATTCATTCTCATACAGATATATGGCATATGACTTGTTTTTTACAAAAATACCTTAATGTTTATTAAATTATACTGTAAATATACAGATGTTAAAATAATTTAGATATGAAATGCACATTTTAATTTTAGTGATTTTTTTTTCAAAATCATGCTTTCTAATAAACTGTCTTATACTGTGCATTTGATCAATAGCCCTAATTTTCACTTTATATTATAGGATTTACATTGAAGTTTTTAATAGATATCCTGTTCACATTATTAAAACAGAGTTACTTTATTAGCTAGATTATTTTATCTCATGCCCAAATTTCTTATCTGTGCTTTTAAAATGAATGATTAAAATATATTTGTTGTTTCTCCAAAATATAACAAATATATTTCCACAATTGCAGATATGACATCCTATTTTACCTTCCTTTATTCATAAAATATTGTTATAACTTGAATTGTTCTAATATAGTTATCATTCTAGTTTTACTATGTAAAATTTTTTAGTTTCCTAAGCAGAACCTGAAAGGCACAAGTAAATATTTTACATTCTATAATATTAACAAAAACAATTTTAATTTTTTTAATTGAAACTAAATTAGTAATATTCAAAATCAGAACAACCACCAAAAAACATGCAGCAAAGCAAGGAAAGAATAATACTACTTTTTTTGAAAACTATATTCACATTGTTTTATCATATAAGAGATTCCTAATGAAAAGTGGCAAACAACTTGTACCCATGCATTGTAATAAAATTAAATGGAATTACCTTTACAAAATATAAACAAAATAACCCAGCAAGTTTTATTTGAACTATTATTTGTTACATCAAATTAATATAATTTCTAAAAGTTGAAACCATATTTTATGCAAACAATTCATATTTAAGACGAGGTACAAATTCATTTGCCAATTTCCTCGAGGAGTATTGCTTGGAAAATGCAAGAGTATGGGGATGTAAATGATATAATGAATGATTTAAAGAGACAGAAACCTTAGTGTAATAAAGGAAAATATCAACAATATAAAATTAGCTATTTCTCACAATGTTACACAGAGTGGAAACTGCATTAAAAGTCACTCTGAAGCCTGTGTGAGTTTCAGTATTCTGTTGATCATATGCAATCACTAGCAAAGATTGTCTCTTTAAATTTGGATTGTATTTAATTCCCATGCAGAAATTTACAAGCTGGCTCGTAAAATGATTTTAACATCAATAATATGGCTTGGAGCAACGTACAAAAAGTTTTCCTACTACGCATTTTCCAAAAACATACAAATAAGGGCTAAAACACAACTTTAGTTTCTATCAGGCAGACAAGGCCTTTACCTGAACCCTAGGAACAAAAGGCGTTGTTCTTCTACTAAGGCTTTGGCTCTGGTAAGCAAAATTAAAGAAAAAAGCAATAAAACAAAACCAAAAAGGACAACACACTAGAACTTAAAGACCAAAAGTAAAACAAACACATACAACTGTCCTTTAAATACAATTATTTTTCATGACAAAATAGAAGTTAAGTACATCCACGTAATGAATAAAACTTGCCAAAAATGTTAAAATGTATAAAGACTATATAAAAAATTAGAAATTTAAGTCAATTTTCAAATATAACAACATAACATGAACAAAGATTGAATGTAAAAAAAACATATTCAGGCTTATCTATTCTAAAATAAAGAGTGCAAACACAACCCATAGTCAAGACATTTCAGATTTCACCCTTAAACACATTATGTAGAAAAAAATTATTGTCCAGAAAGAAGTAAGATGAAAATCTATTTTAGAATTATTAGTGAAAAGTTATTTGTAGAAGTAATGTATGACTTCTGCAAAATGGCACAATCTAACAAAAATAAAAAAAACATTAGCCAAGTTGTCTTTAGAATTTCTTAAATTAATAAACATAGTATGAGAAAAAAGTGCTGAATGCACTGGATTATTTGATTCATATTCACGTAACTGTTCCAGGAGCTAATATTTAAATACTATTTTCAAATATTTATTATGGGCCACTCAAGATAACACTGTTTATTGTTAATCACATTTATTAAATATAATCATACCTTATTTCTTTTTATTTATACTGTTCCTAAATTTCCCCAAGCATTTATTGAAAGTTAATGGCAAATTTATTACACCCACAGTGCTATAAGGTACTTGCTGATATCTCCAATTTGTAGATGAGGAAACAGAGATATAAAAAGTGGTATATACACTTGCCCATACAAAATATAAACACAGGGTAAAGGTAGAAAACAGAGCCCAAGTTCTCAATTAAATCACCATATTTCAAATTCTTAAAAACACAAAAAACAAAAACAAACTTTCCTCTCTTCAGACTTATTCTGTTTTCATTTTGAAACAGTTTCCAAAAGATACCACAATCATCAGAAATTTTGTGACTTTTTAAGGTATGCCAATAGTTAAATCAGGAACAAAGTCAGATCAAAGTGTCTCTGGGTTTGGGAATGGATTTTAGGTATCTACTTCTGTGTCTTTCACCAGGTTCCCTCTGATGCCTGACATTTCTCATGAATATTTCTCATATCTAATTCAAAGAGTTATAAATAGTTAAAGCCTTCAGACTTTTCTACTGATAAGTAATAGAAACAATTAATAGGTACTAGGAAGCCTGCTGCCCAATTTAACTATCATCAGACAGTTTCAAATAGATCTAAAATCCAAAGGAAAGAAGACCTTAAAAGCAGACTATTGTTAATCATTAGTCATGTTTCTCTCTCAAAAAACCAACACTCTCAAGCTTAAGTTACCTTTCTTTCTGTGTGCTGACACTTGTTAAGAAAGAAATGTTCAATTATGCAACTCTATTGGCATGTCTCTAAAATTCTAGGTGAACAATTCTCTAGTAAATGGAAAGCGATGTATGAAATTCATAGAGATTATAAGACATGCTGAAGGGACTAACAAAATCTGTTTAGAAATAGACTTTATTTTCCTGGTCCTCTCACATATTCTACCTGTTTTAGACCAAAAATATCAAGGTAATGGAAGATTTTTATTTTGGAAGATAAAAGATTTCCTTTAAAAGGAATAGCACATTGAAATGAAGTAATCCTTCAAAGCAAACATTTTTGAATCTTCTAAAATGTTCCCAGATGAGCAACACATAGATCTCTAAAACCAATTATCTAAAATCTCTGGCAACTTGTACCTAATATTCATCTGTAAGTTCGGACATTAAATTTAGTTATAAAAACAAATTTTTTTACTAGTTTTTAAAAACAAGTGAAATTCAAGTAACATCATACATACAATTATCCTTTATCTGGAGTACAGTTCAGAGACATTTAGTGCATTCACAATGCTGGACGACCATCATATCTCATTCTAGTTTCAAATCTTTTTCATTACCCCAGAAGAATGTCCTGTATCTATTAAGCAATCACTACTCATTCCCCCACTGTCCCAACTACTAAGCAGTTTTCTGTCTCTATAGATTCTGGATATTCCATATAGGAAAGGTGCAGTTTACCTACCTCACTGCCATGTGTAATTAATATCAATTCATTTATTTCAACCATGTAATATCCAATATCTATAATAATTCAGCCTCATACAAATAAAGAATTTGAATCTGTATACCATAATTTATCTTGAACTTTTATGTCACCTCTGCTACCACACAGCTACTTCAGGATATTCCTTTTATACAATAACTCTGGAATAACAAGGTTGTGACAAAGAAGTAGGAAAGAAAAATGTTCAAAAAACCCCCCACTTTTATTTATAGAAAGCATGTCTAAGGAGATAAAGAATACCTACCTATTCTTCAGTTACTTATTCCCTTTAAATGGGCATATAAAATGGATATCATTCATCCATAACTACATTACAAACTAATCACTAAAAATGGAGTTAGAAGAATGTTAAAAGAAAATAACTTAGGGAAACATTGAAACCAGCAATGAACCACAGACCCCAAACTAAAAAAAATATATTTTTTAATAATATAAAGTAAAAATTTCTTATGTGTCAATACAAATCAATGTGTTCCTATAGAAAGGAAGAATTCTGAGTCATTCTTCACTTTTAATAGAGTTCAAGGCTAGAATTTACCTTAATTCTCTATCAAAAAATCTTGCCAGTAACTGCAAATTAACTTCAAAATATCAGGAGAATTACAAAAGTAATACTCTGAAGATGGAAAGGGCTAAATTAGGGAAGAAAGACAAATTAAACAGGAATAAAAATAAGGGGGTGCTGACACTGAACAGGCTGTCATGATGGCAAAAACCTGAACTCATGATAATTTTCTCACAAAATACATTAATGGCATTTTCATAGTTATGGCCTAGAATAGTAACAGGTGGCAGCACAATTCTGTCATGGAGATGAAATAAACTGCATACATTTATTTTTAAACCATCAATAGGCACAACCAAGAAAATTTAAATCACAAATTTCTATTATGTGTTTAGTTTCTTTTTTGAAAAAATATCAGTCCATGAACTGGCATAAATATATTAGGAAAGTCAGCTCACATACTTCTAAAAAATTATCTTTTCATTCTCAGGCATTAGCAATGGTATGATTTTTTAAGTTATGGACCCAAGTAAAAACCTCACCAAAAGCAAAATACCCAAAGGTAAATTAGAAGGATATATGAATTGTAATGTTGCCTTGTGACTTCCTAAAGGGATTTTCCTGAAAGGTGATATTTGTAGACGCATATTTACCCAGCCTCTATATCATTAAAGCGAAACAAACTGTCTCCAATTTGGCAGGAAAAGGGTTAAATATAAAGGGAAATACTATGTCCAGTAGGGTATCTTGCTCATGTTTTCCTGTATGCAAAGAATAAAAATAAAATTTCATGAGGATGAAATCTATGTCTATGTTAGTCACTGTTGTATTCACAGTAACTAGCATTATAGATGGCCCAAGGTCAGAACTTAACATAGTTCTTGAAAAAACTGATTGGAGAGTTTAATTCCATAAAATACTCTGGATGAACATTTTGGCAATAAATATCAAGCATCTTATTTTTTTCCTTTTTCCTTTCATGTGTTAATTTTAGTTCTAGAAAGTGATCCTGACACAAGAATTTTGTGCTAACAAACATGCAAAATTCTTATTCAAGGATTTCCATGGCATCATTATTCATAATAATATAAATGAGAGACAAGTAAGATTCCTATAATAGTGAATTATGTTATAATAGAATTAAATAGCTTTTAAAATTATTTAAAAGAAATTTTTAAGAAAAAAGTTCAATGAAAAACATTAATTTTGGTGAAAATTACAAAATAAGCAAAAAAATCAGGTTCCAAAAAGTGTACACAGATTTATTACAGTTTTATTTAAAAATTTATATATGGTTTTATTTTAGTAGCAGGATTATAGGTGATTTTTATTTTTTATTTACTTAACTGCATATTCTAGATTTACCACAACAAATATATAATATCATCATAAACATTATCTTACAGGGAAAAAAACCTTCCAAGTTGTGAGAAATTATCAAATGGATAAACATTTTAACTTACAACTTCATAGACTTAAAAAACCAACATACTTCTATAAATTTCAATATTGTAATTTTCCACTTAAAAGTAAAACCTAAGTTTTTATTTCCACCAAATATTTAACAGCCTTACCATATTCATTTTGAACCATGATCAAAAAGAGTTAAACTTGAAGTTTGTTTAAGTGTCTACACTACACTCCCCATGCTCCAGTGCTAGTCTATTTCTAATAGGGCCTGGGGATTTCAAAGGAGGTAACAAAGAGGTACTTACTTATTACGGAAATCTAACTTCTGCTTCCTCCTCCATCAACTGAAGCCAACCACACACACACAAACTCTCTCACACAGTCAACCAGAGCACTATTTAAAGGGACTATTCAAAGGGAACATTCATAATAGTAATAATAAGTGACTAACATTATTAACACTTTCTAAAATTGTTGAAGAAAAAAATAAGCATTTGTAACCATAAATGACAACATCTGAGCTGTCAATATATGTAAGAGAATAAGTAGAAAGATGCTAGGTATTGCAGAAAATAGAAATATAGACCATTGTCCTCAAAGGAAAAAGTTCACTCTGTTTATGAAAAGAAAGGAAAAGAGAATAATAAAGCGAAGAAATTCATTTTAGTCAGGCATTTCCAAACTCCTAATTGTATCTCACCTTTGTCTTGCATGACTTTTGTTATTGTCACCTTGATCATCAAAATAACCCCATTCTAGACAAGTCTGATGACTTTTTCAATAATTGTTAATGTGTTGATTTTGTTTATACTACCTATATTTCCTTCTAATTAATGAAAATTCCTTCAGTAAAAATCAAACACTTCCTTCTCCTCCAAAAAATAGAGAAATTATGTGTTTGATTTAACAAAAAGTTTTTTCTATTATTCCTAAAATATTATTTCAAGAAAAATTTAACATTTTTATCCAAAACATATTTTATCCAAAACAAATTTAACATTTTTATCCATAACATTTTTATCCAAAAGTCAATCTCTGCATTTTGAGAATCTAAATAGTCCTAATACTCACACATTCTCAAGTTTAGTGATTCACCGGCATTATTGGCAATTTTAACTTGTGTGTTCCTAAAATATAACTAGATAAATTTTAATATATTAATGGTTTAAAAAGGGAATAACACCTGAAGAAATTAATATAGAAAATGAGGGTTTCAATTTGCAAAGTTCTAGTATAGACAGAAAATGCACAATTGAATTTCTAACCTTCACTATAAATTGTTCAAGCTGGGGATAATATAAAATCATCTGGCATACTCAGTAATCTACTGTATTATTTCCCCATTTACTTGGTTTTGTCTGCTGACAAAAGCATCTCAAGTATCAATGTATTTCCGGGCAATATTTACACCCCAATGATTACTATGAACTTCCCCTCAAATTTCTTTAAGATGGAAAATTAGAGGAGAATATATAAATGTTTTATTTTATTAAATATACTATATTTGACAGTGTAGTACTTTTATCTTAAAAGTCAATGATAAATTACAGTTGTCTTAAGGTGCTGAGTAAAAATCATGACCTGGTATTTTGAAAAAATATTACCATGGTAAAAAGATTTTATGTAACATCACAAATTCTAACTCATCGAATTCCAGAAAAAAAAAAACTAATTAGAAAGCACTATGCTGAATAATTAAAATTGAATTTAATTAAAATTACTAAGAACGATAAAGTTCATGGCTAAAAACAGATATATTCTAAGAAGAACTTGGATTACAAAAAACAAGCATCTGACAGTAAAGACACTACTTGATATCTCAAAAATAGAAATTAATTTAGTGATTACATACTGAAAGTTGTCCAGATAAGAACTGTGGAACATCCCTCAACATGCCAGGACTCATGGGAGAGGTAACAGAAATAGAAGGACGATCCATTTTTTGAGATTCAAATGAGCTAGAACCTGAAATGGTAATTACACATACAGAATAATAAAAATAATTCTTCATTAGCACTTTATAATCTTTGCCACATATCTTTTAAATCATTTTTGAATGTTCACAAAATGTCATTATGTAGATGATTTTTTTTCTTAGCTACACTGTAACAAATAAACTTAGAGGGATCTTTTGGAGCATAAGGGTAGCTTAGGGTGAACCATTTTCTGTGCTAGTTATAGAAGAAACAGAAGTATACCTTGGGATTGAGTTACTTTGTCTATTATGTGTACTAAACCCATATGTTACAATAATATATTATAGACTTAAAAAATAGAAACAGGAAGAAAAAAAAAACCAAAATCAATAAGGCAACTTAAGAATGGTCTAAATTTGTCAGGCTAAAGACATAAATACTAGAATGTTAATTATGAAATGTTTCCCAGGAAGAAAAATTTTTAACCACTGCAATAAAACACCATAATAAACCAGATGGCAGATGGGTAGAAAGGAAGTGAGGGACTATGAAAAGAAGACACAGAATTGCAGAAAAAGCAGACCTATAGTATCCAGAAATTATATGAATGAATTAATTTCTATGGAGAAGGGCCAAATCAGAAAGTGAATAAAAATGGGGTTAATGAAATATTGAGGGAATAAAATGGAGTTCTATGCTATGCATCTCAGTACTAGTAATATATCCATGTTAAGCCTTGTGAGGTGATATAAAAAAGCATTGCAGGAAGATGATTTTGCCACTTACTGAAAGTGTGGATTGAACTGAGAAAGATGGAAAACAGTTAAGAACAGGTGAAATCTAATCTAATCTAGCAAAAGTAGTGAAAATGGAATAGAAAGAAAGAATTCATGGAATAACAGAAAAAAAGAGTATGAGGACTCACAAACTAATTAGATATGTGAGATAAAGGGAAGACAGGGGAAACATTAAGGTTTCAAGTGTTGTAACCAGATATGAGGTTAAAAAAAGTTCCTGTGTCTGCTGTGTCTCTGAACAGGACAGCACTAATATTCACTGGGACAAAATATTGCAGAAGTACTATATTTAAAGGAATGCATGGAGAAGTTAAGTTTGAACACAGTGGCCTTGCAATGTCTCTGAGAAAGCTAAGAAGAGATGTAAAGCAGGTGGATGGATATATGAATTGGGCCAAATGTCAAGTAGACATTAGTGCTGGAAATTAAACATAAAATATCTGCCTATGTGGATATACAAGTGGATAAAAATCACCACATCTTACACAGAGTATAGTGTAAAATGAAGGGGAAATTGCAAGTCTTGAAATCAAAAGTACCTTTTAACAGTATTCAGAAATGAAAAAAGTGAAGATTTTATAATTAGAGATAAGTTCCATTTTTTACATATTATTAAGCTTCAAGCAGCAGAAAGAGGAAGCAAAGCATATTTTGTAAACATTCAAGGATGAAGGGACAGTGATAGATAATTTTGATTCCTTTGATTTATTCCATGGACACAAGGATGGTTCAACACCCGAAACTCAATCAAGGTAATTCACCAATTCAATGACAGTAAAGTAAAAATTATATGAACCTATCAACGGATACACAGAAAGCCTTTAATAAAATTCAGCATCCATTTATGAGAAAAACTCCCAGAACTAGGGATAGGTGAAACAAACAACAACATAATAAAGACCACATATGACAAACCCACAGCTCACATCATACTCAACAGTAAATGACTGAAAGTTTTTCTAATAGGATCTGGTACAAGATAAAGATTTATACTTCCATCAGTACTATTGAACATAGTATTGGAAGTACTAGCTAGAGCAATTAGGCAAGAGAAAGATATAAAAGGAACCCATATTGGGAAAGAAGACATAAAACAATAACTATTTGCAGATGACATAATATGCACAGAAAACCCAGAAGACTCCATAAAAATCCATTTGAAATGATAAATCAGTAAAGTCAAGTGATAGGTTACAAAATCAGATTACAAAAATCAGTGGCATTTCTATATACAAATAAGAAACTAGAGGAGAAAGAAATCGAGAATACAATCCCACAGATAATCACATCAAAAAAAATTAAATTCCTTAAAAAAGGAGGTGAAGGATCTATACAATGAAAACTGTAAGACACTGCCAAAGAAATAGAAGACGCAAAAAAAGCAGAAATTGGAAAATAATCACTGGACATAGAAAGAATTAACATTCTTAAAATAGCCATTTTAGCCAAAGCAATATACACATTCAATGCTATCCCTCTATGAAAGTTTTAATGGCATTCTTTAAAGTAGAATAAAAATTACTGAAATTTGTCTCGCACCATAAAACATCATGAATAGCCAAAGCAATCTGACAAAAAAAAAGAATGGTATCAGGTTTCAAATTATACTATGAAGCTATAGTAATCAAAACAGCATGATACTGGGACAAAAAGATACCTGGACCTGTGGAATAGAATTGAGAGCACAGATAGAAACCCACACAATGACAAAGGAGTCAAGCGTATACTCTGGAGAGAGGAAAGTCTCTTCAATGAATGTTACTGGGAAAACTGGACAGCCACATGCAAAAGAATGAAACTAGATCACCATCTCACACTTTATACAAAAACTAACACAAAATAGATTAAAGACACGGATATATGATCCAAAATCATAAATTATATTGAAGAAAATATAGGTAAAATTCTGTAGAATTGAGGAAACTAATGGGAGAAAGGGCAACGGGAGGGTAAAGCGGGGAGGGGGCCCAATTGAACTATGGTGGAAGACTAAGGATGCCTTGGTGGTGAGTGTGGTGTGTTGGCATGCATCTGAGGAAGTGTGATTCTATACATCTAAATCATAGATGGTGTTGTAAATCAACATTATCCCAATAATTAAAAAATAAATAATAAAATACGTATTTTTAAAAGTCTTAAAATATTAATGAATTTTTATACTTCCCACAACATGAATACTAATTTTTCGACCTCAATATGATTAAATAGCTGAAAACACCAATATGATAATCCTTACTTTGTATCAATAAATATTTCATTTGATCCTTGATAAATGACATTTTTGATAATATTTTCTTCTAGAATAAATGAAACTTACTGGACTCCAATTGTGCATGTGTGCTATCAGGTATTCTAGGTATATCTCTGAAAGGATAGAAAGAGAAAACAAGATATTGTCTCAACAATTTAATGCAATTTGTTTTGATGATGTAATCAACCTTTATTATAAAAGAATAGTATAAAATGAACAAAATTGTATGATAGCAGTATTACATGAGCTTAAAAGCTATAATACATTATTACTAATAAAAACATTCTGGGCTAGCTCCAATTTTAAGGAATTAGAATTTATTTGCAATATAGCAAATTTGTAAAAACATATACTTTAGTGCTCTAGGTGCATCACTACACAACCCTTTCTAAAAAATTTCTGTATTCATCAAGATAAATTTTACAGACACATGTTACTTCTATTTATCTCTACTTTTACCTGTTGTACTTCTAAAACAACATTGAAATATGCAACTAAAATATCACCACAACAAAAATGGAAAAAATCAGATTGTAATTAAATTTTTCAATGTAATAATGTGATTGTAAAAACATAAAATGCTTCTTATGGGCCTTAACAAAATTTCCTTGTTATTGCATTTATACCAAAAAAAAATATATATTTTTGTTTAAGATTTCCCAGGAGGGGGTTACTGGCTAAGATCATTCAGAAAAGTATATAAAACCATGTGCAAGATATTAAACAAAAATATTATTAGCAGTTCCTTTAATACCAACAAATATATTTGATTAATATACTAAGTTGATATGCAATGGTTCTACAATATTACAAAACAAATAAAAAGACAAAGTGGAAAATAAATGTAATTTTATATGCCAGATTTATTACATTGAAGGAATATTTCAATGAAACTAAGTTAACAACGTAAAGTAATTTTGCCTCGCAGAAAAAGAAATCAACATAATATAGTTTGATATAGTTCCATCTTTTTTTATAGCCTAATCATTTCCTAAATAAGTAAAAAATAAATGTTAGGATTCTACAACAAATAAGAATTTTTTTAAGAATACAGCATATCATTTTATTAATAACTAAAAGTGAAACGATAAATGGACAAGTGAATTTTCCTAAAAACAAAAACATTAACACTATATACAGAAAATGGAGAGTTCTGGAAATGCTTCAAATAAGAATTTCTACAGCCTCCATTCTAGAGTTCTCTCAGAGGCCCCAAAAATTATTAATTTAATCTTTAGGTATCAATTTACAAAATCCAAAGAGTACTTTATATTTGTTTATTTTGTTTCCTTAAAGTTACTGTGCTCTTCCTTAAATTGTTCCCTCTGTCTGGTAATAGTATGGATGTAGACATTTTTCCTACACTGAAATGTTCATTTTGAAGAAAATATGTAAAATTTGTAGACTGTAACTGATCCTCATGTTTTCAATGTAGAGGAATATAGTTCCTGTATCCTCTTTTAAAAGTAACTGCTAACTGTAGTTCGCTTCTAACTCCTTTAGCCATCTACAAAGCTACTAAGCTACTAAGCTAACAACTAAATATTTTGCCTTTTATAATTAACTGTATATTCTAGTATGATCAGGTAAAGAGATGTCATGATTTTTAGTGAAGTGCTTTTAGTAAATAAATGAAAAAAGGCATTGTCCTCAAAATAACATTTTTATAATGCTATCATATATTTTTATTTGCACATTACAAGCTGTCTAGTAGCAATACACTTTATAAACATATAATTACTCAACTAACTCACCCGATAGGTCTTGAAACAACAAGCTCCACTTGTGGTTCAGGTTTAGATTCCAGAATGATGTTATATACTTCCTCAAATGTGGCTCCTTGCAATAGCCTTCCATTCCATTCTAACACCTCATCACCTAGACAATTTGTCAGTAATGATAATCTTAGAGAGAAAAACTAATTCTATAAAACGCACTTGAAATAAAAGCAGTCTTAAGCTGCAATGAACTCCAAAGAATAAAATCACCATTATGGAATAAGAAACTGAGAACAACTCCAGTGGCATAAAATTCAATGACTAGCATAGTTAGCATATATAATCCAAAGGACAAGGATGAGAGGGTAAAAAATTACATAAAAGTCATCTCCATAATTTCTTAATAGAAATTCTAATTCTGCAGAATATCAAGATCAGTTACCTCTTTGAAGATTTTATCACTGTATTCCAGGTTTCTTAATATATATGTAGCCGAGCACCTTACCTAAACTCACCCTAAAAAACTTAAAACATAGCACCTTATCATAACCTCTCTATAGTACACAAGGATCTCTCTAGTAGTATCCATTATCAAAGAGACAAAAAATGATAAAGTGTGAGAAGGAGATAAAAAGAAAATATTTATCCACAAAGTTTTGTTTCCTAAACTATATTGGAGTATTTTCAAAGGGAAAATGGCTTATGGGAAACAAAATAGGTTAAAACTGGATACAGAATAGGAGTATCTTTTCATTTAATGTGACTCAAGAAACAGTAGTAAAACTTTCCTTTAATAAATAAGGATTTATAGTTACATTAAAGGAAATATTTGTTACTTATCATATCACTTTTAAACGAGGATAATTTTCTCCCAGCTATTCAAGTTGAACAGTTTAAAATGTGAAATAATCAAAGTTAGAAACCCACCTGGTCTAAGATGTCCTACAGTATCAGCTAAACTTCCCTTTTTAACTTTGGTAATAAATGCACAGAGCCGACCTGATTCAGTCATCTTTCCTCCTACAACCTGTTTAAAAGAGGAAAGTATTAAAACAGGAATGTTGTCAATTGAACATAGATGAAGACTCAAGGAAAAAAAAGAATACAGTTTTCCAACTTTTAAAACTATGATATACTAAAAGTAACTTTTCAAATAATATAGTATTGTTACTAGCAAGTGAGTCCCTGTCCCAAGAGTGGCCCTCTTTTTTCATATTCCATGTTTGGCAGTTTAATAGTTTTTTTAAAAAAATGTTACATACTTTCAAAAACACGTGGAATTTGTCTTCATTACAGAATTTTTATTTTTGTCATTTCTAGAAACATGAATATAGTACTATGTAATTATATAAACAATTCTAGTTATAGATTTCAAGCATCATAATAACAAGATATTTGCTACTTTCATCATAATTGTGATACCCTTCCAAAATTTCATCAGGTAATTTTTTTTTTAAGATTTATTTATTTATTTATACAAGCACAGGGTACAGTCAGAAGCACGGGAGGGTGAGAGAATTCATCAGAGCCAGAGCGGGGAGCAGAGCAGGCAGAAGGACCGAAGTACACTGCTGAGGGGAGCAGCGGGCAGCAGGAGAGGTCTGGGCGCCATGTGGGGCCCTCCTCCGGTGGCCGGAGAGCAGCCGGGGATCGAACCGGCGCTACAGAGACTGCGGTCAGCTTCACAACTCAGCGCTCATCCGCTGTGCCACCGGGGAGGTCCAGGTAATCATCTTTTGAGTACACTAATAATGTACATCATAGTGAGGAGTCTTTAATAAGAAAATTACCTCATCAGAACTAATATAAACTTTATTGTATCCCAATTTTTCTAATTTTATGTTTCTATTAATATATATCTTTTAGGAATAAAGTATTAATGACAAGGCATTAGAGTCATATGTGTACATAAAAGACTAATCTCTTACAAAATTAGTGCTTTGACTCTGACCAATTTTCAGCAAGTTAGATAAATAATAGTAACAGATTCCATTGACTGAAATAGTGTTTTTCTTTTTACTTTAAATGAAAAATGAATTTAAAAATCCTGGATTTATCCTATTTCATGTATTCATTCCCAAACTACAATAAATTACACTCAATTACAGTACAGTTAATATTACCTAATTATTTCTGTGTTTGATTATGAAAATTAAATGTACAGATATCATGAACTGACATCCTAAAATAATAAAAAAAATGTTCTTGGCCTGATAAAATTTAATGATAATAATTAATTACACAGATTACATAAATATTATTGTTGATATTTTATGGAGTGCTAGGCACTGTACTAAATGTTTGTATATTGCTTTATTTTTTTCAAAGATTTATTTGTTTATTTGTTTATTTATTTATTTATTTATTTATTTATTTATTTATTTATTTATTTATTTATTTATTTACACAAGCACTGGGTACAGTCAGAAGTGCGGGAGGGTGAGAGAATTCACCAGAGCCAGAGCAGAGAGTAGAACAGGCAGAAGGACCTAAGCACACTGCTGAGGGGAGCAGCGGGCGGCAAGAGAGGTCTGCGTGCCATGTGGGACCCTCGAACTGGCACTGCAGAGGCTGCGGGCAGCTTCGCAACCCAGCACTCAACCGCTGCGCCACCAGGGAGGTCCTGTATATTGCTTTATTTAATCTTATTAAAATAATGCAATGAATATTACTATCTCCATTTTACAGAGGAGTTTGAGGCAAAGAGTTTAATTGCCCAATGTCCTCTAGCTAGTAATTGTTGTAGTTAGAGTTCAAGCCAAGACTTCCTAAATTCTATACCACCTTACTCTAAGGTAGATCTGCATTTAAATGACACTTTCATCATTATCCTTGGTCAAGTTAAGCCACTTTCTAAGCTTACTTCTCTTCTGATGTAAGTAATAAATAAGATGATGTAAAATGCTCAGGTGAGGTCACCCGCAAGTCAGCCACTCACTAAATGTTAGTTGCCCCATTCCATCTACAACCCACATTTTCTAATATATATCACTTTCTGTATTCTACAGGACAACTTCTGTAGCAATGGATTAACTCTAAAACATTTACTCTTCTATCTTCCAGTATATAAATTGCTATATAGATGCACAAAAACAAAGAGAATTCTTGGTGTACTTACCAAATAGTTGTCCAGTATCTTACAATAAAACATAAATGAATTTACATTAAATCTCCTAACATCAGTATCATTGCATTTCCAGACTGTAAATACTATCTTCTCAATTTCTCATAAACACAAGTACACACACATATTTTGCTAAATCAATCAAAATTGATTGATATTCCTTGTAATATTTGTTACATTTTAAACTTGACATTTAGTAATTAAAACTATCATTTTAATAAAATATAAGCACAAATATAGATTTAAGAACAAACTATAGGGATAAAATATGTTTGAACATTGTATTTAGGATTCAAGTTTATACATACAAGGTGCTATATTCCAAAGGTATACATATAAATATTAAGTATTATATATAGGTTAGAAGTATTTTATATATATATAAGTACTATTTATTATAATGGCAACAATTTAAATAACACTTGAAAAAATTAGATTACCAGAGCAAATATTTTTGAATTCTTGAAAATAGGAAAAAAGCACTAAACTGATACACGTAGTAAGAATTAATTTATTCCTTGCTTTTCTGATGAATCTGTAAAGGAATACGGAGTAAAAATTTTATATATCTCACTACATACCTTCAAGCCAAGCATTGCTCCTGAATCTCGAGGTACACTTCCATCTTTTAAACGTTTATTTAATAAAATACGACCAATTAAACGATCTCCATCTTTGGATGGCTGCCATGTCACAGGATGCTGATATATTGCATCAACAAACAAAAAAATTAGTATTTCTTTATGACAAATTACCACTTGTTCAATGTGTCTAAACTTAAGATTTCCAAAGTGTTATGATTACACAAACCAGTTTGCATTCCAAAATACTGATCAAAAAGGCTTACTATACTACATTATGATTATAACTTCAACTTCATCATCTCAATTTTTTTCAAAATCCAAATCCCTCAAATTCTGACAGTACTCTGATATATTGAAGTTCCATGAAATCTGAGAAAACTTGAAGACATATGAAAACTCTAATTTATCCACATACTGAAGACTAATTAAAAATCAAAGGCAGAAAAAATAGATTGAAATTCTATGCAGCTGAACTCATTTAAAAATATAAATTTAATCTTCAACCCCTTGTAAGACTTTCAAAGACAGTACAAGTACAAATTTAAAGGTCAAATTATATTAAAACATAAAATTCAAACTGTGATAGGGGCTTTCTTGAGATGGGTTTGTAGATTAAACTTAGAGAAAATACCCAAGCCCCAAATAACTTTTCAGTAGAATTGCATGGGAGAAAAAGATCTAATTCAAAAGTGAGGTAGATGACATTTCTCACTTTTTTGGAGGTTCATTGATTATTTTAGGTCTTTGATATATTTAGTAAATTAATTTTACTAGACATTTCAATGGCATCCATTGTTAAATAACCTTGAAATGTTAGGAGTTTGTTCTTTTTCAGGGCAGAACCAAGTCCTTTAAAAATCATGACACCATTCCATGTGAAATACATGTCTAAGAAAGTAAATGATTTGTGTAATCACTTTCACAGTTATCTAAGAGTAACATGCACATCTTCATGCAAAATTTAGCAGGCAAAAGACAAGTTCCAGTCAATAATCACATCTATATGTTAAAGATTTCAAAAGTTTCACTATACTAAAAGCAAAAATAATAAATACCAAAGCAGATGGCAATGGCTCTAATACTAATCAACACTACATTAAAATGCTATGACAATAAAACAAAAGAGCAAAATGACAGTGAAAGGGAAAAAAGAAAAACAACTTTTCTGTGCAAATAGACCCAATTATCTCCCTTTGCCTGGGATTCAAACTATTAATAATTTAATTTTCATCCCAAGGAAAATATATGCAAGCATTCAAATAAGCCAATCCAGAAATTCTTTATATTTGTGATTTATAATAACATTACAAAGTTCTCTCACGCGACCATAAACAAAACATTCCTTTGTTCCTAATTTTTATTTTCATTTACTTATTTTTTGGTATGCCGTCATACAACAAAAACAGCAAAGCAAGCAAGAAGTATTTTGGTTTGTTTGTTTTGGTTTTGTTTTTCTTTTCTGCACCTTAAGAAATGCTACATTGACCCTTAAAGTGCCCTGTCCTTCATTATGTTCTGTTTCAATGAGTGACAGAGAGCAAACGAAGACCGAATGAGCAGATTAAAAGGCAGGCTCCACAATCTCAGTACCTTATCACTATGGCTATGCTCCTCGTTAAGGGTTGTGCTACTACAGGTATCTACCCCAGAGTCCTTAATCTGAGGCTCAGACCATTCCAAATCCTCTTCCAAAGAGTGGCCACCAAAGTACATCATTTTCTTTTGTCTCTCAGACCTGGTGTTAGAGTCCGACAAAACTGCCTGCTCACTAGTTTTTCTTTTTCCCTTTTGACTGTCCCCTACAGGTGTGGGATAAAAAAAAAAAAAAGATACAAAAAGAAAACATGCAAAGGTGTAAATAAAAAGGAAAAGTGAAATGATAACGGAAATTAAATAGTAAGGCTCCACATGTCTCACCAAAGACATTGGGGAGGCCTCACTGCTATGCCAAGACGTATGGTCCAACCAGTTGTAATCCATGTCTCCTGTGAGAGTCAGACAGACAAGAGTGCAGTAAAGGAGACGGCGAAAGAAAGGACGGACAAAGACATTACGAACATGTTAAACTGTGTGGTCCTGTCTGTTTCAAGAACTTTGTAGCACTCACTATACATACCAAGGGGAAGCTAAGATTCCAAATGAGTAAAATTTATAGAATGCAGAATACAAAAGTTCATGTAACTCTAGACAGACCCCACAGAACAAAAGTCCTGCAAGAAGAGAAAAAGCTAATAATCAACAGGAATAGAAATGAAAATTATATACTCTGAAAAAGAAAAAGGCTATCAGCTATGTCTATTTTTTTCATGCTGGCCTACAGACATAAGCTTGTTCCCCAAAGATTAAAAAGCATTGAAAAAAGGAAAACAGCAGTTTGCCAATAACCACTATAACAAAAAGCCAAGTAATTAAATGTCTGATGTTTAGTCTGATGATCTTCATAATGCTAAATCCTCCTAAAAGTGGGAGGAAGGGAAGAGAGGGAAAAAAAGGGTCTTTAAAAAAAGAATTGGTTACACAAAAAATTAACTTTATATGAAAATGACCAAACAGATTCATTCAATTTCTATTAGTAAAACTAAAATAAACTTGACTCAAATATCATTAATTAACATTACTTTGAAATAATCTGTTAACTTTTTTCAGAAATTGCATTCTCATGAAAAGTAAATTTCCTTTTAAAATGATTTTGTCAGACAACTTATGTCACTGGCAAGTAGGAAAGAACATTCATTTCCCAAGCTTAAGTGTTCCTTATGTGCCTTACATTTGCAAAAGAATTTCATTTATAGGGCCTCCATGGTGGTGCAAAGGATTAAGACACAAACTATGAAGTAATTCGCAGCCACTGCAGCATAAGTTCGATCCCAGGCCAGGGAGCAACTCACATGGCACAGCAGACCTCTCCTGTCTCACCCGCTGCTCCCCTCAGCAGTGTGTTTTGGTCAATCTGCCTGTTCTGTTCCTCTCTGCCTCTGGCGAATCCTCTTACCCCTGCACCTTTGGCCTGTACCCCAGTTCTTGTATGCATAAATAAATATATCTTTTTAAAAAAAGAATTTAGTTTATGTAAATATATCTTTTAAACCTTATTTTATTTTCATTTATTTAAAATATTTACTAAACACCTTCTGTTGCTATGCATTATTCATAAGGTGTATAACGAGACATACAACAGAGTAGAGATAAACATGATCAATTAATCATCAGCGTCATATAGGAGAAAAGTACAATAAGGTCTAATTTACATTTGGGGGTCAGCAAACATCTCTGAAGGACTAATGTTTAAGAACGGAATTTGTGACTTACAGGACAAGTAAGAAGGCAGTTGGAAAAATACAGGAAAGAGCATTCCAGTAAGAATGTGGTATTGTCAAAGAAATGATGAAACACCATAGTGTCTGAGCCAAAGAGAATAAAGGAGAATATCAGTGCTAAATGAGACTGACAAGGCAGCACAAACCAGCTTAGAGAGGCCTTTCTAGGACTAGTTAAGATTATGCATTGAAGGCTTTTAAGAAAGATAGAGACATGAACCGAATTATATTTTTATAAGAAGAAGGTAAGTACTAAGTAGAGAATGGGTTGGAAGACACTACGGGGCTTTGCAATAATCCATCGACAAGTAAGTACGGCTTAAATCAAAGGTGATGGCAATTGATACGGTAAGGAAAGAGGAAACTAAGAGATGTTCTGAGGTAGAAATAAGTGTTGAGAAAGATTGAAAAGTCAAGGACACCTCCCAAGTTTCTAGCATTAACAAGTGAATGCAAGGAAAGACCATATATGAGATGGAGAAGACTCAAGGATCACTTTTCTTTTTTTTTTTTTTTAAATAATAAATTTTATTTTTATATTCCCCATACAATTGCAGCCCCCCCATTCTGACCCCAATCCCTCCCCTCCCACCCCCGCCCCCCAAAAAGTGTCTCTGGTTCATAGTTTTTTGTTGATTTTGATTTTCACTTTCTTATAGTTATTCATTTTTCAAGGATCACTTTTCACTGGGGAAGGAGGCGGAGGGCATAACTCTATTTCACAGAATTTCAGATGTCAATGATTGTAAGATTCATAGATACTAAAACGGCAAAATATGCATCCTAAAGTTTATCAAATATGGTGACTGATTTTGGATGTATTGTTCCAAATACCTGTTATTCAAGAACTCATATCAAAAATAAACTGGGTAAGCCATAATAAAGCTTTTTAAAAGGAAAGTCTCAGCTGAAGAAAAAAATTGGGAGTTATTAGCATACAGACAGTAGTAAACGGATCATATAGGAACATAGGGTAAAGTAGGCGATGTAGAAGGTCCAGACTGAATTCTAACATTTAAAGTTTGATTTCTGTGTATGTGTTGGGGGGAAGAGAGAGAGAGGGGAGGAAAAGAATTAAAAAGAGCAACTGTAAAAATTCATGCAGAGAATAAAAAGGAAGGATGGAGATGGCGGTCTCCAAACCAAATAAAACAAAGTTGAGTAAACAGGAGGATAAATCAACCACACAGTATGATTTCTACACATAAGGTAAGATGAGGAACTGAAGAATGTGCATTTGATTTGGCAACACAAAGATCAGGAAGAGTATTAGAAAAGGTACTTTAGAAAAAATGATTAAATTTGAAATGCGAGTGAAGTAACTAAAGAGTTAAGGGAGATGAAAGCAGAAAAATTGTGTGTAGATAAATGGTTCACAAAATGAAGCCTCAAATAGCATAATCAACATCACCTGAGAACTGTTAGAAATGTAAATTCTTGCACACCATCCTAAGCTAATGAGAAATTCTGCAAATGAGGCCTAGCAGATTTTGTTTTAACAAGCCTCCCGAGTTATCATGATCTTCATTAATGTTTGAGAACCACTGGAGACTATTCTCTTAAGAAGTTTATTTGTGAAGAATGATGAAGTTGTGTTAACACAGTCAAAATTCAATTCGTAAGGGCAAAAGTTCAGTTCTTTAATTTGTGAACTAGAGAAAAGCGTCCAAATCTTGTTCGTGAAACAAATAGGAATTATAATTTTATGTCTACCCAAAAACTGAGAGTATTTTTATCTTAGAACACCTATACCCTGCCAAAATACACTATTGTTCACAACAGAGCTTTGGTAAATCTTTGAATTAGACTGAATATAGTATGGAGTTGGTAAATGAAAATTCTTGGCTAGCTTATGTGAAGGTACGAGAATTCAGATCACAATGTCTCCTCTCCCCTGTGCCAGAAACCAATTAAAAAAAAGCAAAGTTGTTATATGTGGAAAATTATGCTTATTATTGAATAGATTATAACAAGATCTAAGCTTCATGTCATTATAGTCCTCGAAAAGAGGAGAAAAAAGATGGGGCTGAAAAAGTATTTTAAGAAATAATGAATGAAAAGTCCCCAAGTTTACAAAATATGTGACTTCCTCACTCAGGAAATGACATAAGTCCCTAAAGAAGAAAAAGACAAAGAAATCTGGGCCTCCCCGGTGGTGCAGGTGGTTGAGCGCTGCGCTGTGAAACTGTCCACAGCCTCTGCAGCACCGATTCGATCCCAGCTGGCAACCAGAGCGGGTCCCACATGGTGTAGCAGACCTCCCTGTCTCGCCCTCTGCTCCCTTCAGCAGTGTATTTCAGTCCTTCTACCTGTTCTGTTCCCTGCTCTGTCTCTGGTGAATCCTCTCACCCTCCCACACATCTGGCCAGTACCCCGGTTCTTGTATAAATAAATAAATCTTTCTTTTTAAAAGAAAGAAAGAAATCTATGCAAAAACATATATCATAATCAAACTGAAAAAAAAAACACCCTTGAAAGCAGGAAGAAACAACACATTACCTAACCCAGTGAATCAGAAACTGAAGCAAGTGACAAAATAATTTATGTTAGTGAAATAAAATAAATGTTAACCTGATTTCTACATATAGTTACTGTATTTTTTAGGAGTGAATGAGAAAGACATTTTCAGACAAAAGAAAACTAAAAGAATTTGTCACCAACAAACCAAGCCTAAAGGAATGGCTAGAAATTCAGAAAACAAAAAGAAGGTTCGTACAACTGCTATGATGGAATAAAGACCAGGATAAGCAGACACATGGGTAAATGCAATAGACTTTACTTATTCTCTTAAGTTTTCTAAATAATGTTTATGTTTGAGGCAAACAATATACATGTCTGATGTCGTTTTCAATACATGTAGAAGAAATACTTAAGACAATTACATTACAATGAAGATGCTTAAAGGAGGTAGGGTTTCCACATTCTACTCTAGTTAGTAAAATATAACAGCAGTGGGATGTGACAAATTGTGCAAATGTGATATATTACATAGATCAACACTGAAATATCTTTGCAAGGAAATACAGTAAAAAACACTATGAATGATTTGAAATGCAATTCTAAAAATATGTTTAACTCATACAAAGACAATTAAAATACAAGATATGAAAAACGGGACAAATAGAAAACAAAAGAAAATGGCAAAAGAGAAAAATGAAGATACAACCTTCATGAATATGAAAAGAAATCCTTAACAAAATATTAGCAAATAGAATTCAGTAATATAAAAAAGAATTATACACTCCAAGCAAACAGGGTTTATTGCTAGAATGGAAGGCTGGTTGAATACTGAAAATCAGTATAACCTCTCATATTCACAGGTTAAAGGGGGATGGTGGGTTCATATGATCTTATTCATTGATGCAGATAAAACACTCAGAATAACAAATTACACCTGAAAGAACAGAGAACTTGCTCAGATAAAAAAAACCCAACCAAAAATCTACAATTAAAATTGTATTTTATGGTAAAAGGCTAAGTGC